ATGACTGAAAAATCATTATTAGTGACCAATGGAATGATATTCATCCTGAATTGTGTATTTCAAGACAATGTCTGTCAGCAGAATATATTCCTACTTTATTTCTATATGACAGTTCAATAAAATAAGCATTAGTTACCATAAGGAATAATTTTTTCGATCAATGCAAAATTGTTTCTTTTTGAAAAAGGCAGTGTTAAATAATATAAAAACAACTAAGCGAACCAAAGTTTCTTTTGATATTCAAGTGTACCGCTGTCAAAAATTATTTTACATTTGCATAATAAAGGAAGTTTTGCAAATGAGTATAAAGTACAAAAAAGAAAAAGTAATCAAGAATTTCTGTTGTTTTAATGATATACTTTTAAAGTTAATTTTTTCTCTATTTTAAAAAGATAGAATATCCGAATTAGGATAGTTTGTGTTTATATTTCAGGTGGTGTTTTGTTTTTTGGATGTTGAGTGATTGAGATATGAACTCAGATATTGTTCACTGTGCTGTGCAGTTTGGTGTTCGTAGATAACTAGTATTCGAAGTATCGCTTGTATATACTTGAACCGCCAAGTAAACAGTGATGGGAGTTAAGAAATGGGTACTAGATAAAAATGGCAGATCAATCGACGAAATAGTAAATCTTCATCAGTTGAGGTGTTGGGGACATGTGTTACTTATGCCTAAACACCGACTAGTCGACAGCTTAAAATTGCCTGCAATGGCATGGATGCATTCATTGTTTATCTTTTCTTAAATTCTAATCTGAATTCATCATGGCCTTTTTTCATTTTTCAAATTTATTTCACTGGATTATACCGCTTGAATCATATCTTCGTTGTCTAATCTTTATTAGCACCGTTAACACTTTCACTATCTCTATTACTATAGTATTTGAATTGACAATCCCACCTCTTTGTTCAAATGTAATATGACAGCTTGAATTGATATACGTTTATACCATGTTCTACATTGAAGCTAACCGATTTACTGACTACAGTTGCGTTTACTGACTTTTTTAAAAAGTGATTAGAATAATGTTTCGTTTACAGAAATACCTATTAGTACTATCAAACTGGTAGTGTAAGTAGATGGCGTTTTCCTGTTCTTAGTATTTTGCTGATGCCATAGATATTTCAAACTACTAATAAGTTCTAAAATTAGAACGAAATGAGCTTCTCTGACAGGACTGATATAGACTAATTGAAATACAACTTGTCACAGTCATCGTAGATATTTCTGTCAAGTTCAATTTACTTACTATGTACATTTATTTCGTACTCAGTCATAAAAATGGTAATTTAGTGTGATATAAATAATTTTTCAAAAATAACATGTATTATTCACATCTTTCTTTTTGAATGAAATCAACACATTCTCGGATCAATAAACAAGTATTGACTTGTAATAAAGTACCTGACAACCACATTTCGATTGCTAACGAATTGAATCTATCTTATACGAAATTCGTTTTACATTGAATAGCATACATTTTTAACAAATATTATTGTCAATGTGCATTTATTTTAATGTATTTACCCTACTTTACACTGAAGAGTAAAAGCATAAAAACTACTGCCATTTCTTCATTTATTGCACGAACTAATCAACTTGATAGCAGAATGTAAACTTTCTAAAAAAATCAGGTAGATAAAAATTACACGCTGAACGGACACCGCTGAAGACATTACTTACATACTTACTTACGCCTGTCACCCCCAATGGAGCATAGGCCGCCCACCAGTTTTCTCCAACCAACTCTGTCCTGGGCTTCCCTCTCCAGTTCTGTCCAATGTTTGTTCATTCCTCTCATATCTTTCTCTATTTCTAGGCGTAGTGTGTTCCTTGGCCTTCCTCTTTTCCTTTTGCCTTGAGGGTTCCATGTGAGGGCTTGTCTAATGACGCAGTTAGGTGCTTTTCGTAGTGTATGTCCTATCCACTTCCACCGCTTCTTCCTGATTTCCTCCTCCACTGGAATCTGACTTGTTCTCTCCCACAGTTCGTTGTTGCTGATGGTGTCTGGCCAACGAATACGAAGTATTTTGCGTAGACAACTGTTAATAAACACTTGCATCTTCTGAATGATGGCTTTGGTAGTTCTCCATGTTTCCGCTCCATACAGTAGAACTGTCTTGACATTTGTATTGAAAATCCTGATTTTGGTTTTGTTTGAAAGTTGTTTGGAGTTCCAGATATTTTTGATCTGTAGAAATGCAGCCCTCGCTTTGCCAATCCGCGTCCTCACATCTGCGTCCGATCCACCTTTCTCGTCGATGATGCTGCCAAGATATGTACAGGTGTTAACGTCCTCGAAAGCATCTCCATCAAGAGTGATTTGGTTGGAGCATGTTGTGTTGCATCGGAGAATTTCGCTTTTTCCTTTATGTTTGTTGAGACCTACTGCTGCAGAGGCTGCTGCTACACTGGTCGTCTTCTCTTGCATTTGTTGTTGCGTGTGCGATAGAAGAGCCAGGTCATCTGCGAAGTCCAGATCGTCCAGCTGCGTCCTAACTGCCCAGTTGATACCGTGCTTCCCTCCAGATGTTGACGTCTTCATAATCCAGTCGATGACCAGGAGAAAGAGAAAGGGTGAGAGTAAGCAACCTTGCCTGACACCGGTCTTCACCTCAAAAGAGTCTGTCAGCTGACCTCCGTGCACGATTTTGCAGTTGAATCCATCATAAGAATTCTGTATGATGTTGACTATATTCTCAGGCACACCGTAGTGTCGAAGAAGCCTCCATAGTGTTTTCCTATCCACGCTATCGAATGCTTTCTCGTAGTCGATGAAGTTGATGTAGAGTGGTGAGTTCCATTCAATTGATTGTTCCACAATGATCCGTAATGTAGCAATTTGGTCAGTACACGATCGATCCTTACGAAATCCGGCCTGTTGATCTCGAAGTTGGGCGTCTACGAAGTCCTTCATTCTGTTTAACAATACTCCTGTTGAAGACTTTGCCTGGTATTGAAAGAAGAGTGATGCCTCTGTAGTTCTCACACTTGCTGAGATCGCCTTTCTTTAGTATTTTGATGAGGTATCCTTCTTTCCAATCTGATGGTACTTGTTCCTCATCCCAAATCTTCTTGAAGAGAATGTGAAATATTTTCGCAGTTGCTTCCACATCTGCTTTCATTGCCTCTGCTGGAATGTTGTCTGGTCCTGCTGCTTTGCCGCTCTTGATTTGTCTGATGGCCATACTGATCTCCTCAATCGTAGGTGCGGCAATATTAATTGGGAGGTCCTTGGATGCTGCTTCGATGTTGGTTGGGTTCAGTGGAGCTGGTCGATTCAATAGTTCCTTAAAGTGCTCCACCCACCTATTTCGCTGTTCGTCAGTGTTGCTGATTATTTTCCCTTCCTTGCTTTTCACTGGTCGTTCTGGTTTACGATAGTTCCCGGCGAGCTTCTTTGTAGTTTCGTACAATTGTCTCATGTTTCCTTCTCTTGCAGCCTTTTCCGCCGTCATTGCTAGATCTTCCACATATTTTCGTTTGTCAGGTCTGATGCTCTTCTTCACTTCCCTGTTTGCTTCTGTATACTCGGCTTGCGCCTTAACTTTCTCTGCTCTTGTTCGGCTGACATTGATTGCTGCCTTCTTGTTCCTCCTTTCTTGAATTTTTTCAAGAGTACCAACAGAGATCCATTCCTTGTGATGGTGCTTCTTGCGACCAAGGACCTCCTGACATGTTGAAGTGATTGCCTCCTTAATCCCTTTCCAATTGTTCTCCAATGTTGCTTCCTCTCCATTGAGTAGATCCTGAAAGGCCTGGAACCTATTGGTAAGGGCTATCTTGAATTCGTTGAGTTTTACGGTATCCCGAAGAAAGGCTGTATTAAACTTCTGTGATGTTGGATGTCCCGTTGCCCAGTGCTTCTTTAGCTTCAATCTCATTTTGGCGATCAGCAAATGGTGATCTGAAGCTATATCAGCTCCTCTCTTGGTTCTCACATCCTCCATGGTCCTTCTGAACTTTTTGTTGATACAGATATGGTCGATTTGGTTTTGAGTAGTGTGGTCCGGTGAAATCCATGTGGCTTTGTGAATGCGTTTGTGCGGGAATATTGTGCCACCGATGACCAGTTTGTTGAAGGCACATAGGTTTGCAAATCTCTCACCGTTTTCGTTCCTTTCTCCCAGTCCATGATGTCCCATGATGTCTTCATATCCAGTGTTGTCCATTCCAACCTTGGCATTCAGGTCTCCCATAAGAATCGTCAAATCCTTTGGTGAACATTTATCGACGATTGACTGCAGCCTTTCGTAGAATTGATCTTTAACGTCGTCATTGTAGTCATTGGTAGGTGCATAACATTGGATGACGTTCATTGTAATGTCCTCTTTCTTCGTTTTGAAGGATGCTTTAATGATCCTCGGCCCATGAGATTCCCATCCTATTAGTGCCTTTTGTGCATGTTTGGACAGCATCAGTGCAACTCCTTGTGTATGTGAAGCATTTTCCTCTTCATGACCAGAGTAAAACAGCAGTTCCCCTGAAGCTAGTCTCAGTTGTCCTACTTGTGTCCAATGCGTTTCACTGATGCCGAGCACCTCTAGGTTGTATCGTTTCATTTCTGCCGCAACTTGAAATAGTCTTCCAGTCTCCCACAATGTACGAAAGTTCCATGTACCTAAAAAAATGGTTGCTCTGGTTGTCAGAAGAGGCATCAGCCCCGTGACTTCCGAGAGAACTCAGCTTTCATCACGAGACGTCATAATTCTTCTTCCAACTCCCGTGGCAGAGTAAAAATGGTTTGAATCATTTTTTCTGGTTAGCGTTTTTTTGGCAAGTGAGATTTCAACGGAATGGGGTCGCCAACCCCATGTCCAACCCTCCTCCTTTATCCGGGCTTGGGACCGGCAGTAGCCCCTTAGGTTCTACTGGCGGAGCTGAAGACATTGTTACAATAAATCAATTATTTAAAAATTATAGATAATTAAACTATTTAAAATGATCATATTGTCTACCTACACTCATACATCTTATTTATTAATTATTTTTATTTTAGCGCACGAAAGAAAAGAAGGTAAGTTCGAATTCAACAGAAAATAGTTTATTTGTCTGATGTGTTAAAAGTTCAATAATTTATAAAATTTATCAAAAATAATAAATCATTGCATGCTGCAATGAAAATTAGCATTTTGTATCCTGTGTTTTGTGTAATTGATATATATATATATATATATATATATATATATATATATATATTTATATGAAATTTTTAAGTAGTGTAATTTAAATACTGTCTTCTTTAATCAATAATCGACTTCATAACTACTGTAAATGAACTTTGAATTCTGCTATAAATCTGAAAATGACCAATTACGTGTAATTCGATAGGTAGTATTTAACATTCATTCGGGGATAGAATTAGGATGACGATTCAAACTACTTTTTGTAGATTTAAAGCTTGCCCTTAGCTAATCATTTACAATAAAAATAATAGCAAAAGTATGCAAGAATATAAAATGTCCGATCAATGTTCTCTAGTATAAATGGTCTGAATTGTTGAGAGGTAAATATTTTAAAATTACTAAGAGTGGTAAACTTTATAACTGGTACTTAATTTGTGTTAGAAATCCGTGGGACTTAATACTAGCAGGATTTGACTGATTGAATTTCACCTTTGAAAATGATGAGTTTTGAATTGAAGAGAGAGGAGATATATTACAGTTGTATTTTCCTTCAGTAGCCAAAAACTCAAAGTGTTACAGTTACGTCTAGATACTGTGAAACCAAAAAATAAACGAAACTTCAGTCAGTAAGCAGCTGTTTTCTGCAGAATGACTTGGATTTACACATAAAACTACTTGAAAGTAATCAACAAGTATGACAGTAAATATGTTAAATGGTAATCCATTACAGTTACTGGATAATCTAGTCTCTTAAGACTATGAAACTTTGAAGCAGCAAAAAGCAACAAAGTCTATCTTTAAAAATGTACATAAAGTTGAAAGGAAAACACTAAGATCCTAAAATCAAAAATCTAGTAATACATTGTCTTAGTCTAACAAAACGATAAAACACTAATTAATGAAAGGCGACTAATCAAACATCAAGAAATACTGGACCATTTTAAAATATTAAAAAAAAACAGTTTAAACAGTAAGGTGCTTACTATCTAAATTTCACTGACTTATGTAGTGAAAATTCTATTGAAAACTTATTAATTCCTGTAACAACAGTTTTGAACTACAGAAAAAGACAGTAAACTATGTAAGAATAAATCAAAATATCTAGTGAAACAATAATACTACAAGAAGAGATCTATTTTATGTGGCTGATTCTGAATTAACTGTTTCAACGACCAAGTGCGTTTAGTAATCCTACATTACAGAAAGGACGAATTTAAAGTTGTTAAGACTCAAAAATCACTCATGGTTAGTACTAATATCTTATTAGATTAAAATAGCTAAATTATATTATTATTTTATCGTAACACCCACCCAAATCTACAATAATGGAATTGAACAAAGTTATGATAGCCTTGTGACGTATATTGAGTCATCATGGCATTCATTGGATTATCATCCTCTGCCAAAATTATCATACCCAGTTAACTGGTATTGTAAATTAAACAAGCAAAAATATACCGGATAAATTTTCTATGGATTTTTATTACCTTTTTCAATCTATCATTGTATACAGGACTGGTTGATTAAAGATCACTATTGATTAAACAGTCTCTGACTAATGAAGTTTACTTAAAACTATACTCCTGGTTTAGCGTCACGCCCAAGAATCTAGTCATTGTTTATTTACTTAATTCGAAGGGAAATGAATGTAGGCTTGTTGTAACACAACTAATGTGCATTGTAGAGTTTCTTTGAATTGTGCAGTTGCAAAAAAAATGAATCCATTCTTATCTTTTGAACACTAGTAAAGAGAACTCGGTTAATATGTTTAAACTAATTAAATGATGTTAATTCCGAAAAAAAATAGTTACACAGTATGATTGTTTACAAGGTAATGGTGTTGGAATTTAAAATCAATACACATGAGTTACTTATTTTTACAGTCATTGTTGACTCATGTTTCGCAACGTGTGCGCTGATTTTAATAATTTAGGATAAAATATCTATTTATTTAAAATTAGGCTATTCGCCTTAAGTTGGATTTTGCCTAAATCTGTTTCGGAACTGTTACAACATGTTGAACAAATTAACGTCTACTAAAGTAGTAGGTTTTGCATATTTCAATGCACATCTATACACATTCATGTAAGTAATACTTTAAGGATAGTTCTTAGCTTGAAAACTAAATGCACCTCATGCAACCAGTTAAATAAGATCATTTTGATCTGTTGATTAACAATCCATATAAAACAAACAGCAGCCGAAGTCCATAAATTAATGTTCACTGAAGTCCTATTATTGTTAGTAAATAAATGTGTGGGTGTACAAATGAAACACTATGAGCCAATGAGTCATCCAGTGAAGCAAGGGTCAACGCCCACGCAAAAACTGCTTTGATCGTTTTCTATAATTATATATAAATTGTAAACATTGCATTCAGTAGTCGAATTTTCCAAACAGTAGTATATTTGCCAAGTTCGCTTGTTGTAATCATACGTGTAAATAAATTGAAAATTTATTACTGAGAATATTTATGGAATTATAACTGAATACGGTATTGATAAATACTAAAATATTCAAAATGAAATATGTTACGTACGTTCTTTTCTATATCTTTAGCAAATATTTAAATCCAAGAGTGAATTGACATAAGTAGTTGTTTCTATAATTCACACTGTGTACCAAACAAATACAAACCAATTATAAGTTCACAATATCGTCTGACCATCATTTTAAAAAAACACTAGTATTTATTAAGACATTCAATTCCAATTGTTTTAAACACATTCCAAACAAACATAGAATCAACAAACAGATCAAACGAGGATACAGTCAAAATAAAGATGCAGACAACGACAGATTTAAAGTCAATAACAACCAATCAAAATCAAGGTCAACATAACAAACTACGAGTTCGAATACTTCGCTTCTATCCGAAGTTTATGCTGATGATGTTTTTCAGGACTGCAATGAAAGCTCCACAACTAAAACATCCAGCTCACAGAACGGAACTCCATCAAAAACATTATCCACCTGAGCTACAAATTTCCTCCACCATCTCAATATTGCAACACAGAATTTCTTTTAACTTCATCACAGTTTTTATTCGTGGTGAATTTCATAAGTATATCAATGAAACGTTGAAAACTAATCATCATTACAGCCGCTAGGATCAAATTCTATAACAAATGCAATTATATATATATATATATATATATATATATATATATATATATAGAGAGAGAGAGAGAGAGAGAGAGAGAGAGAGAAACCCAGAGCCCAGAATCACTAGCATAGATTACCCAGTTAACTATCGATCAGATTGTCAATCAAAGATATCTACTATAATATAATAATTAATCGATTTAAACGCATAACCTATGTAACTTAGATAAGACATGCCATCAGTTTCCGTTAAAATATTATTAACAGAAAAAAGTCAGTTTAGTTTAACTTAAACTGCCAGTAATCAACAATGTAGGGAGTGGTACAGGCATATTTTGTCCCAAAGTTTCATACCAAATTAGAATGATCAAAAAAACTGGATGAACTGTAAAAGAGACAGAAATATTAGGAAGATATGTATGAAAAACTACGTGAATTTAAAATAGAATATAAGGTAAAGTATGAATGTGTGCAGATCATCACACATGACCATTAGTTATGTCAGTCTACAATTATTGGTTATGATTATTGCACAGACTCAAAGGAGGTAGACATCACCTACCATGTAGTGATATCACTTCTTAGTTTGGCCACCAACAGCTTCTTCTAATCAACTTCTACACCACTCGTCATCACTCATTGAAGAGTGAGGAGTCATCTCAGTTGGTGAAGATTAATTACTTCACCAACCAATTTGCCAACTTTGCCTAGTACTCCAATCCTAACATCAGATTTAATAATACAATTAGTGAATATGAAACAGTATCTATAAATATCTAATTAAAATATTTTAATTGTAAATAAAAGAAAGAATATAGTAGTAATACTGTAACATTACGAGTAGCGACATTGTTCTTTTTGTTCAATTGGTTAAAACTATATACTTCGATTTTCGGTACAAAACTCCATTTCTGTCTCTTAGTAACCTTGCTACTAATACTACTATTATTCATAGCATTACTCTTCTCTATTTACTAGACTTAAAGAAATACTTCATCAGATGATTTTGAAATAGAAATCGCCGACTGAATTACCGTTTCTTGAAGTTTAGTACAGTAATTAGAATTTTAAAAAATCGAATCATTAAACTCCATTTCCAACTAAATTAGAATTCTATCAGTTGCAAACTACTAACTGGGGCTTACTTAAACAGTGGGTTTCCTTACTCAGTTGTTAGCGCACAAATCTCGAACCCCAGAGGCTAGAATTCAACTTGGACACAGATTGTTCCATTTACTTTCATTGTATATTTCAATTAAAAGAAAAGAACTGTAACAACAACTACAACTACAAAAATCTGGTATCAAAACGTCTTTTTTTAATCATTTTACAGAGAAAAAGAAAATTACCAAGCTGAACGATTACCACCGAGAACATGTTTATCTAATCGAATGAATCGAAATAATTTGGTTTACGGCAGTAATCGTGCAATGATGAATAGTAATAATAATAATGATAATAATAATTTGACTAATGAAATTAATGTGAACACTGTAACACCATATGCTAGTTTTGTTAATCTAGCAGCACCAGGACAGGTAAACAACAGTTTAAGTGCATATTGACGAATCATTGATTATTTTATTTTAATTATGAACCTATGCAACCGATGATGATTATCTAACAATTCAGGTTTTGACAGTTTAATACTATTTAAGCATAATCTTAGCGTGATCAATGTTTTTTAATCAAACTAGATATTTACCCAGTAAAAATCTTTACTTTTCTTAAGCATCCATAAGTACTTATTTAAGATACGTATGACTGACAGATTATAAGATTGATGCAAATTTAAAGGTTTTAGTTAAACAGAAGATTTGAAACAGAAGTTAGTGGAGCACTAGATTGGTAAATTAAGAGTTACTGAGTATTAATAATTGTCATGTTTGTTTAGCCTATTAGTATCAATCGAATTTCTAAGAATAAGTTGTAGCTTGCATAGCCACGAACCTGAATCACTTAACATCTCACGCACTATGTTGAAGTATAAAGTTAGATTCTTTCCTTAGTGGAAATAATGCTTCACCACTAGTAGATGTATGCTGATGAACTAATGGGAGCCTCGATGCACCGGACAGTTTCATTATCTGAAATAGCGACTACCAGCCTAACACGAGATCTCACTTGTCTGTTATTGTTATTGGTGTCAATGCTACTAGATTTGATGGTTTGTCTTCTGTGACATTTGAAGCTTAGTTATTTTCTAAATGTTCTGCAGATTACCACGTTCGCTCGCTTTAATATCTTTAAAAACGAGTTTATTATTCAGTTGTTATGTAAATTGTGTATATCTAAGCATACTTCTGTCAATAAAATATAACCGTATATTCTATCTTTAAAAAAGTCAATATTTCCATCCTGTCTATTTGTTATGATTCACCCGATTATTTGTCTGTTCCAGAAACGTAATAATAGCTTATGTAGACATTACTAATGAAACCACTTCATCCTTAAGGTAAACTTTTATCTAGATATGAGTGGATTTTAACTAATTTAATGAGTTTCAAAAGCTTATTATTTATCATTTGTTACTCAATACGTTTCCAATGTTTTGAACGTTTCATCTCAGGGTACTCAAAATATTTTAAACGAAAGTAAGGGATTTTATGTCTTATGGGAAATTGTTGTGTAGTTTTTGTTTTTTTGGTAATTTTTTTCTCACTACTGCACGAAAAATATTGTTTCAAGCACTGAGTTAGAATAGTATATATATATATATATATATATATATATATATATATATATATCAAGCCAGTATTCAAAAAAACTTGTGGAATGATTATTTGAAATCCTAAACGACTGAACAGCTGTTCCGTTACAAATATAAGGTTCTCAACAGTATTCACTTACGAATATACATATGGCAGGATCCGTACACTTCAATTCTGGTGGTGACCATGCATATTTAGACCAGTGGAATGAATCCAGTAGCCCATTTTGTCAACCAGCTATAAGGCAGATGATCTATTGCACCTATTGATGGTAGTTTCAACAGTTTAGATTAGTAAAGTGTTCTGATTACAAGCTCAATTTAGAAACTCAGGGATTGATCTAAAAACTAGTTACCAGTAAGCATACGTTTATTACTCACTAAGATGGTTCGTGGAGAGTAGTTCAACTTTACTTAAGACGTAAATATGTTAACATCAAGCTATGAGACCATGATTTCAGATATCGTGGCCATTGGAAGAATCGAGGAGTTAACGTTATTTCTTCGCAGGTTATAGGTTCTCAAATCAGGGATGGTTTAGATTAATATGAAAACGGTTCAAATTAATCTTTCTTTTTCGAACGAATTTCTAAAGCATATAAGTTTTCGTTGTAACCGTTTTCAAACCAACAAATAATTATTTCACTATGGATTAGCGGAATAACCTGTACATAGAAAACCATATGTATTATAGTGAACGAGTTACGTAAATTATGAAGCTTAATTGCTTGTAATTTGTTTTGGGTTTTTTCATATGAGCTAGATTAGTTCGAATTAATAAATACGTATTGACTAGGAAAATGCATGTCCAACATCATGTAAATCCATATTCACCTGAACACTCTTCTCTTCATCATTTAATGCCGTAGATAAAAGAGACATTCACTAAATGTTTTGTGGTTATCCACTGTAGAAGTAAAAATTGAGTATATTAATAGATTTTCTGAGTATTTAAACCGATCTTCCTGTATAGTTTTTAGAACTGGTAAAAGTTTAATTTAACCGAAACGCATCAGTTGTCGTTCATTTCAAAACGTTTGGTTAATTGGTCATCTTATCTACTATAGTACATAATGATGATTAAAAATGCCCAAAATATAAATATTTCTTCCTGTTGGTTTATGGTTTCCTATTTTTTTATTGAGTGTTGTAAAAACATCTTTGTTTACTATATAAGCATGTTCTGAATAATATTCTGTGAAACTATGTTTATGAATTTGTACTTCCTAGTACGTTGTATCTTCCCTCCAAAGAGTAATCACAATGAAGTTTACACCTTTCACTCATGCACGCATACAATAGTTCCGGCGTGTGCACTATTTTGTGTTTTTTTTTATCAAAACATCTAAATATAAGTAATCATAGAAACTTTTTTCGTCAAAGACTGACCATTAAAGGAGTAAGTACTACAGACTATAAAAATTGTATGGCCTTAATATGTGACTTATCAGTAGTGCCTGTACAATATTTAGCCTGAGATCGAATCTAGGAATTTAAGATCTTTCGGAGATTGCAAAACAATGAAATGAAAGGATTATTTTCAAGTAATCCACACTTCTAACTTCAATTATTTTACGAGCAGTTTCCTCTCATTGATGCGCGACTGTCGTTTTGGATATGATTTATCTCTACAAGTCGGAACCAATCGTCAATTTAATTTAACACCTAGTGAAAAGTAAATCATTGGAGAGTAATAATTGCCCCTAATTCGTGTTATTTTTCCCATACTTAACCTTGTCAATTCTTATGACATTAATTTATAAATGACATACTTTTATTCGACTATTACAGCCGTAGAATACAGAATATATGTTTTCAAGAAAAGATATAATTTCACTGTTCAGTAGTTCCAATTAGTCCATAAAAAGATAACAGTATTTTTAGCCAAAATAAGCCTTATACAATGTAAGAAGATACTGACGTCATCGTGAAATGAATATCCCAAAGAAACCGAAATTCTCACACAACTGCTTTGTTTCGATTTTCTAGATAAAATTTCGTTAAACACAAACACAATAAGATAACTATGCCGAAGTAGTCAATAAAATTAGCATATGCAGGATTTACTTTTACGAAACCATAATCTTTAACTCAAACCAAATAACTTATTAAATTATCACATACTTATTGACCTTATGTAACGTTACTTCAATAGAACTAACGAAGACTAATTCAGATAAAAAACCAGCCACAATGGATTTCATATAACTTTGCAGTATATATACCGTAAACATAACTATTTACTACTTAAGGACTACATTCAGGCTATCTTATTGACTGCATACAAGCTACGAATATTACATAGCTTATTCAATTTGACTCAATTAAATCACAAGCTAAGTAACTTGACAGTTGTAATTGTGGGGTCTGAACGAATCAGTCAGCTACAACGTAGAATTTCATACGTACGCACATTAGTTCAAATTTCCATGCCATATTAGCATAGAGAAATCAAATTATCAATTGAAATACAATAGTGATAGATGTAGTGGAACTGTTAGCGGTAATGGAAAAGATTAGCGCTTGAAGATGTTATTCAAGCAATACAATCCAATAAAATGAGTTTAAAAAGAGAAAGGTGACAAGAAATTCAGGAGATTAGGATTTGAGAGAAGACAAAGAATGGATGCACTTGCGCTATTGCAAATGATTTTTAGACATGTTATTCAAAGTCTCTAACCACCGGTTACAATTGTCTCGTGGATCCCAACCAGGTAGTCTACACCTACCAATATGGCTGAATCTGGTTGTCAGTGACTTCATGGAATAGTGCCATGTTTCGGTGTGGCCGCTAATAGCTTTGTCCAGCCGACCCTTACATCAGACATCACTTTTCGAGGTAGCCGGTAGTTGGGCATGTGTAGGACATGTCCCAACCATCTCAATTGATAAAGTATCGAATCTTCGTCGATTGATCCACCATCCTTATCTGGTACCTGTTTCCTAATACCAGAATTGATTAGTTGATTATCTCAGGATATACTAGTAACGCTTTGCAGACAGCTGTGATCGAATACTAGTAACCTACGAATGACTTCTATTCTGACTGGCCATGTTACACACCCGTATAGTAGAATGGACCGAATTATTGCACAGTAAGCCCGTTCTTTGCTTTACAGACGGATATTCTCTCCTACGCCATAAGTGACGCAAGTTGGCAAAAGCCAGTTGAGCCTTCTGTATCGGTGCTGACATTTCCTCACACACCAGGTAATCCACACTGATGAGTCTCTTATCAACCTGCCCCTAAGTTGACTTCGCTCCTCATCATGTTCAGAGCCTGATATGGTGAGTTTCCGAGTAGATGCTAGTGATATCCACTGCTCACCAATAACCTTCTGTTTTACCAAACTGGCAGATATCACTGCTGTTTCCACAGCTTTTTGGTAAACATTCGAAGCTGACTCGGGATAAACATCACTTACATGACTGCCTAACTGTTATTCTATTAGCCCCTGAAATATATTGTATCATTAGGTAGAACCCTAAGAGGTTTCCTTGTGGTATCTTTCCTACGTCCAGTAAGACGCAAACAAATACGCGCTCGTATTAGAGAGTGATCTGAATCTAAACATGTGCTCCAGAATGAGCGAGTCTCCTACCAAGCCTCTCTGTCGGTGGCTGTCAGCAATATGGTATGGTTGGGTTAATCGTTGATTCGACTTTGGGGGTCGCCACGTTAAAAGATGTATTTCCTGATTAGTAAAGTTATTATTTACTGGAAATAAGCGATTATCTGAGCATAGCTGCAGCATACGGTCGCCATTATCTAATTTATAAGCTGAAACACCGTAAGACCCATCGAAGTGTCTTTCGGTTTCACCTAGTCTACGTATTTGAGCATTTAAGTCATCAGCCACTATTATCACATCAAAGCGCTTAACTTTTTGACAGAGGTTGGAAAGTGAGAGCGTAGGCAGAGACAACGGAGAGTGTCCCTATCTTTCCTAATGGGGGTCTAGACGAATGCACCATCACCCGAAATGTTAAACCAAGATTTATAAATCAATGTACACGTCTGGTGTTGGTAAATTTCATTCTGATTCGAAAGCACATACTACGCTTATAAATAAACATTTTCATCATTTTGATAACTACTTTTCAACAATGGTGTAAATCTTCATATTTCTACAAATTTATTATAGACACAAGGATACTCTACTTCGCAATCGTTTAGTATGTACGAAAATGTCGATTGGGCTGAAGAACTCAACTCATCTAAATATGATTTGAACGATCCAACGTCAATACATAGTTACGAAACACAAGGTCAAATTCATCTCTTTGAAATCGGTAATTCGACTGAAACATATCTAAATAGAAATACAATCGATGATAAAGAAACATCTTATTCAGAATATGGTCTGTTAACTGAAAGATCAGTAACAACACAACCAGTATCACCTGATCAACGGGAAATGATTGCTTAACAAGGAAATATTCATTACTACTTAGTGTTAAAAGTAGTAAATATACATATATATACGATCCGATGTTTTAATTTACAATAACTTTTCGTAAAATTACTATGCATATTAAACATGGATACATACCGAAATGTTTTTACTACAAACAGCCAATCATTTTGTTTCTCGTTAGAGCCAATTTAAAAAAAACACTTTTTATAACAATCGTAATCATTATGATACAATTATTTTAATCTATTTCTTCGAAAAAAAAAGCCTAATATTGAAAAAATTGTCAATTCCTTTTTTTGTGTATAATAACAGATGGTATACGAATATTCTCAATAACAGATAACAGATGATATATGAATATTCTCAAGTTTTGTCTTGTTTCGTTTCTGTGTTCTGTTCTTTCCTGTTTCTTATTTTGCTCTGACTTCATTTTAACAAATTCTATCAATTAACAAAAATCATAGTTCAGGATAAAAATCGCCCACTTATCATTTTCTCGATTGCATTCTACTTTCTTTTATTTACAGAAAAGAATGTTTATTAGGTTGAAAATGAAGATAACTAACTAACTGCACAAAAATTAAAAAAAAAAAGTGTAAATTACATAATTTAAAATTTACTGACTTTCACTCCTTTTTATACATTAACCTAAACACACTACCCTAAATCAGTCTTCCGTATATCTTATATGAATTAGATGTACAAATAAAAAAACAGGCATATTCTTGATATTTCATTCATCTTATGCAATATTTCTTCTATATCTATGAAATTTCATACTTCACTACTTAATAAGCTGTAAAAAAAAGTTATCAACAAAAGAAAATGTCTTTCATCATTATGATATAAACAGTCTTCTATTTTGTAATATTTCTTTGATTCAACTAGATGGATGAATAGAGATTTTGCGTTCGAAAACAATGTGTATTTTTGTGTATATTATTATTATTATTATGGATGCTACTCACAAAGTAGCATATAAGTAGTATGCAGTGAAGTGTCGCCTAGAACTTACTACCAGATAGTAGTGTCAGATCGAAATGCATGGTGTGATGTGTGGTGGGCTTAAAAGCCAGAAGGGATATGAGAGAAGATAGTCAATAATCTTCTTGGATATCAAATAGATGATTGAAAACTATATGTACATATTTCATAACCTAACTGTCTTTCACAAATATGGATTTTTTGGCTGACAAAAATGATGAAAAGAGCCAATATTACGATCAACTCATCAAGTGCATTTCTTCACTTGTTACAGTTTTATTTATTCTTCAAGAAATCATTCTACTAATTCCAGGCAGAAATAGAAAATGAAATCAACTCAAAATGGCTATACAGTACAAATAAAGACGTCCTAATAAGTTATAAACCTTCTATGCTGTGAAACAGTAAGAAAACGTAGCCACATAAATAGTACATGATTGAATATTTCAGTATCAAAAGCCTTTTCATCATGCAAATCATCCGGATACTATTAGCAAATTCACCAGAACATACACGGATATTGCAACAGATTACAGAGATCCCATTTAAAAGGCATATATCATGCTCTTGAAAATCTCATCTAGATACCATGAAATGCGAGTAAATATATTTTCATTAAATGGTAGGCAACACGTATAACAATCAATTTCTTAACAAATATTTCGTTGATAAGAAGAATCGACAGATTATCAACAAGAATTGACTGATAAAAAGATTTACCTAGTGGTCAATCGTATTGCGAATAGTATCTACATATTCAGATTTATGCCACGAGTTTCGAGGACGAGTATACTTACTATCCAGCTGCTCAAATAGTAGTGGGTGGAGTTCGAACATGCAACTGATTGATTGAAAGCTGAATAGTTTCAAGTGACAAAGAGTCAAGTTTCCAATCTGCTAAAACAACCAGCAGAGTTGTGAGGCAGAAAACATTTGATAACGATGAATTTTGAAATGATATCTTCAAACATCTACTTGGTTGGTTTTACACAGAAATTATAGGGTTTTGGTAAACATCATTTCTGAAGATTTTAGTGGATGCTATGAGAAATTCTAATCTCAATGCTTTCCAGTTTATTCTAAATCTCGCAAAGGGTGTTCTGGCAAGATTTTTCTCATAAGCCGAACCTAAAATTAGCTAATTTTCACTGATATTAAGAATGAAAATTAGCTTATTAGAGTAGATTCGTAGATATTGTATTGTTTTCAGTGGAAATCACAAATTGGTTTTGGCTAGACCATCATTGAGAACCTGTAAGCACTAAATGGACGTTTTTTAGTATGGGACTCCTCATTAGTGAGCACGCACACGAGTGAGATCGAAAACCTTCAGACTGGCACGCAAGTGTCTAGCCCCCAGTGATTACAGTTCAAGTTAAGATCGGTTTAAGATGTCAACTTTGAAAATAATACAACCTGCGAAAATCCCTTATAATAATAAAAATCATGTGTTAACAAGTGACCAGCCTCAAGATGTAATTCTGAAGTCCTAGTGAGAATCACTGACCACTGGATGTCAATCGTGTAGAGTGCGGCAGTTAACCACCGATCAAAATGGAGGATAGTCATGACATAACCTGGACTGACTGAATTCGTAAATTAGCATCGTTAAATACCGGTGTTCGCTCCTTTTTTTTAACTGTGGTTTATCGCCAAATATACTATGGAGACTGTATCATCTATGAGGGTCTTTAGTTAGCAGTGTAATGGATCAGCTTTCCAAAAGTTTGTTTCATTAAAATTCTCACAACTGAAAGGGGTTTCCCTATTTATAAATAAAGAAGACCTTAACGCTATAAAACTTTATGATTTTTGAGGATACTGTGAAGTTTTGAGTAGTTTACAGTATATAGCTTTCCTAACTTTATGATTATAAGTGGATACAGCTTTCGAAGTGAGATAAAAGTACTTACTTACTTACGCCTGTTATCCCCAATGGAGCATAGGCCTTCTACTTGTTTTCTTCAACCTACTCTGTCATGGGCTTCCCTTTCCATTTCTGGCCAATTTTTGTGTCATTCTTCTAATATCTTTCTCTACTTCTCGGCGTAATCTGTTCCTTGCCTTCCTCCTTTCCTTTTACCTTGAGGGTTCCGTGTGAGGGCTTGTCTCGTGACGCAGTTAGGTGCTTTTCGTAGTGTGTCCTATCCACTTCCACCAGTCGATCACCAGGAGAAAGGGTGAGGGTAAGCAAACATGCCTGACGCCGGTCTTCACCTCAAACGAGTTTGTCAGCTGACCTGCGTGCACGATTTTGCAGTTGAATCCATCATAAGAATTCTTTATGATGTTGACTATCTCAGGCACGCTGTAGTGTCGAAGAAGCCTCCATAGTGTTTTCCTGTCCACGCTATCGAATGCTTTCTCGTAGTCGATGAAGTTGATGTAGAGTGGTGAGTTCCATTCAATTGATTGTTCCACAATGATCCGTAATGTGGCGATGTGGTTGGTACATGACCGATCTCGAAGTTAGGTGTCTACGAAGTCCTTCATTCTGTATAACAACACCTTGTTGAAGACTTCCTGGTATTGAGAGAAGAGTGATGCCTCTGTAGTTTTCACACTTGCTGAGATCGCCTTTCTTTAGTATTTTGATCAGGTCTCCTTCTTTCCAGTCTGATGGTACTTGTTCATTATCCCAAATCTTGTTGAAGATAATGTGAAGTATTTTGCAGTTGCTTTCACGTTCGCTTTAATTGCCTCAGCTGGTAGGCAGACTGGTCCCGCTGCTTTGTCGCTCTTGATTTGTCTGATGGCCATGCTGATCTTCTCAATTGTAAGTGCGCCAACATCGACTGGGAGGTCCGTAGACTCTGCTTTGATGTTGGGTGGGTTCAGTGGAGCTGGTTTGTTCAAGAGTTCTTTCAAGTGCTCTACCCACCTGTTTCGCTGTTCTTTAATGATGCTGATGACTCTGCCTTCATTGCTTTTCACTGGTCATTCTGGTTTACGACATTTTCCAGAGAGCTTCTTTGTTGTCTCGTACAATAGTCTCATGTTTCCTTCTCTTGCAGCCTATTCCGCCGTCATTGCTAGATCCTTCACATATTTTCGTTTGTCGCATCTGATGGTGTTCTTCACTTTCCGGTTTTTGCTTCTGTGAATTCAGCTTGTGCCTTAACAATCTCTGCCCTTGTTTGGTCGACATTGATTGCTGCCCTATTGTCCCTCCTTTCTTCATTTTTTTTAAGAGTACCAACAGAGATCCAATCTTTGTGATGGTGCTTCTCGTGACCCAGAACCTCCCGACATGTCGAAGTTATTGCCTCTTTGATCCCCTTCCAATTGTTCTGCAGGGTTGTTTCCTCTACATCGAGTAGATCCTGCAAGGCCTCGAACTTATTTCTGAGGCTATTTAGAATTCGTTGAGTTTTATAGTATTCTGAGGAAAGCCCGTATTAAACTTCTGTGGTGTTTTCTGCCCTGTTGTCCAGTGCTTCTTTAGTTTCGGTTTCATTTTGGCCACCAGCAAGTGGTGATCTGAGGCTACGTCAGCTCCGTCTTCGTTTTCACATTCTCCATGGTCCTTCTGAACTTTTTATTGATACAGACATGGTCGATTTGGTTCTGAGTAGTGTGATCCGGTGAAATCCATGTGGCTTTCTTTACGCGCTTGTGTGGGAATATTGTGCCGCCTATGACCAGTTTGTTGAAGGCACATAGGTTTGCAAAACTCTCACCGTTTTCGTTTCTTTCTCCCAGTCCATGTCGTCCCATGATGTCTTCATGTCCAGTGTTGTCCATTCCAACCTTGAAATTTAGGTCTCCCATTAGAATCGTCAAGTCCTTTGGTAGGCATCTGTCGACGACTGACTGCAGCCTTCCGTAGAATTGATCTTTATCGTCATCATTGTAGTCATTGGTAGGTGCATAGCATTGGATGACGTTCATTGTAATGTAATGAGTCTGTAGAATACTGTAACAGAATAGCTTAGTTAGAAACGCGCGATGAAAGTACAGACACAGCGGAAGACGAGTCTAGATTATCCACAACAGTAAGTAATAGACATGTTTCACGAAATAAGACCTCATTTTAATAACTTTTAACAAACCAGTTAAATGAAATGTCGAGAAACCCTTTTTATTAGCACTTAATTAAAAACTTGGTATATTAACAACAGTAAAATAGAAGTCCACACAAAAAAATTCCGAGAGAAATTCTCTTGATAAAATTAATAAATGAGTATTTTAAGCAGAATGTCCGATATTCAGCCCGGGTAGATTTCCATCTAAAACGGTTCAGTGCCTGAATATTCACTGAAATAGAAATCGTCAAAATTTATCATTTTCGAGAATAAGCAATATTTGATATGTTTTAACCCAGTTACGTGAGCACATGCGTTATGTTGAATTAAATTCAATCATATAACGAAGAAGACACTACGTAGGAAGGTGTATTTACTGATCACTGTTAAAAGTTTATGTGTACTTAGTAATGAAATGTAGTTGTAACCTTAGAACAAAAGAATATTCCAGCTTCCAAACGTCAATTACTTTGGGATTTGTCTTGTCATGACACCTTGATCTGATATATTTGATCCTACCTGTTTCGGAATTTACTTACATTACTATGAGAAAGGATAATGGAAAGGATAGATCGAAAATAATTGAAAGATTTGTCTACAACTTCAAGGGAACAAAAGTTTCAAGCCAGTATTGTTGATTTACAACGGGAACTGATCTCAGATAGTCAGTAACTGAAAACCAGAAAGCATTAGGAAGTTATTTAGTGCTAATGTGCGGCTCTTCAACAGTTGATAAACACAGTTCCATCGGGGCTCAAACCCAAGACCTTATGATGAACGCTTGAGATCTAGATCGCTGGACAGGCATCTAATTAGATATCTCACTAATTAGCTATTAACGTTTTTGAGGGAATATACGTTTATTTGACATGTGTGGAGGTGTACCTAACAGACACAAAATATGCAGTTACTTCTCGATAGTCTCTAGTCATCTCAGATTAAAGTCAATAAACTAAGACACTGAGTTAAACATTGATCACAACATTATAAACTGGGCATACGAAATTCATTTATTACCAGCGGTAAGACATTATAGCTCGCGTTACTAACCAGAAGATAATAGACTGAATTTAGAGAGACAGGATAGTAAAAATAAAACCATTATAAAAACGCGAACAGTCAGTCAGTAACAACGCAGAAATTTATGCGTACGTACATCAGTTCATGTCGCCGTACCACATTATCACACAGATACAATTTTCAATTAAAATCTCATAGTGGTAGAAGCAGCAGAAGTAGTAGAGGTAATAGAGAAGATTAGGGGTCGAAGATATTATTCAGGAAGTATAATCCAGTGAAATGAATTTAAAAGGAGAAAAATAAAAGTGGCGAGAAATCCAGAAGATTATGATTTGAGAGAACACATAGAGTGGATGCACCTGCTGCACTGCAAATGATTTTGAGCCATTCATTCAAAGTCTCTAACCACCGGTTACTATTGTCTCGCGAACCCTAACTAGGCAGTAGTCTACACCTGCCAACATGGCTGAGTCCGGTGTCAGGGACTACATGGATTTGTGCCATGTTTTGTTCTGGCCTCCACTAGCTTTGTTCAGCCTACCCCTACATCACAAAATATCGCACGTCGAAAGGCAAACATGTAACGTTACACTACTCAAAAACGAACCGTTTGCTTTTACAGATACCCCTCCAAGGCACACTGGTAAAATTATAATTGATGAAGATACTTAGCTAACCAGTCTCAATCCAAGGCTTATTTTTGAGCAGTAAAACTGCATCGATTACAACAAAATTTTATTTATTATAAACGACATTTTATGTACAAAACAAGTAACTTGCAACAGTTGTTCAGTAATATATATATATATATATATATATATATATATATATATATATATATATATATATATATATATATATATATGAAGTAAAAACATACAAAATGCTGATTAAAAAAATAAAGTATGTGAGTTTTTACTATCGAGTTGGTTTTTATTTGTCCGTTGGAGAATTCATTGGTCTGTTGTCCAGAAAACTTCATTGAACTGTCTTTTTAAACTCAACTTCCAATTATCTTCAATTGAATAAAGATCAAATGAATCAGTTCCATCTAAAAAAAATACGACGAAATAAGCTTTGTGAGTACTAAGCGTGGGTCGTTTTCCTGTCGAACAGTTCAAGCTAACGTATTAAGAAATGACCTCTTATTTAACCTGTAAGAATATTTCAAAGAATCACTATGCTATTCGGTTTGCATTGTCACCGAATGAAATAATCATGTTTCTTATCAGAAGGAATATAGTCAATTAATCCGAATTTGAGTCAAGATAAATTTGATGATAAAAAGACAGAACTGAATAACTAACAATCACCAGACTAAGATATAATTCTCCTACATTATGTTTAAATGACTTTATCAAGTGAAACAAATGCTTACTTCCTTCTTGTAAAAGAAACGTTCTAATCAGAGCGTGTGCAGGAAGCGTATTGCGAGGATATTGTGTAAGATCAGATTCTTTGGATGGACGTAAACCCTTTAGACTAGAAGACACTATAAGTTTACAGTTGTGGCCATGCTCAGTTTCTTTTGTAAAACTATGGATAAATTGTCGCGTATCTTCTAGTAGATTGGTTAATCTAATAATATATGATGGATCATTATCCTAAAAAAAAGTAAGTTCAGACAAGAATTATTATGCGCGAATAGATAAATTAAACAATCTTGTTCACTTTTAAAGACGATACCTTTTAGTCAATCAAGTAATCTGTGAAGAAATGATTAATCATACGGGGAATTGTTTTGTAATAGACTAAAAACTAGGGAACTACTGAGGAAGAAGAACAATTGATACGTTTCGTTTCTAGAAGTAGGAAATCCCAAATCAACCAATGATCTAGGTTATGAGTTACAGCTGGACTAAGAAAGTACAGTGTTTTGCTTTATTCATTTTGGAGATTTCATTAGTTTACTTGTTAGAATTTGAAAAATTTAAAGGTAGTTTTCATTTCCTATCATTAGTCGAAAGAATATTTTACACACTGTCACGTATTTCGAGAACCATTATGATAGCATCATGATAAGCACTAGGTTGAAGTAGATACCATGCTGACCGCAAAAAACAATTTGCACATGCAGGAAAGTACGTGACAAACAGCTTAAACAGAATCTGATTTTAGGATCTGTTCGATAGTCGTTATTCGTCATCTTAAAGCAACTGCGAATGCAGTGTGAAGGGCCCAATGCTGTATAACATCATGTGTGCATACTTATAAAGCATCACGAACTAGGATGAAATATTTGATAATTTCCTCTGAATTTCAGGTTTTTCATTTTTTTAGCTGTTGATAGGAAAAGTCTTATAAAAAAGTTTAGCAGTGAGACAGAGGAAAACAGATTGATGGAAAGCTAAAATACGGTAGCATTTAGTAAGTCTTGTAAGAGATACCTTGGAAACAAAACTCAACCAAATGTCGGATTTTTATCATTTCCTCTAGTGATGTTACTCTTATGGAATATACTTGATTTTTAACTGAGTTTTATTCATCCATTTATTTGAATGGGTAAGTATGACACTATTTTAACCGAATACGTTTAATATGATTCCTTAAACGTATATACAAGTGTTTCGGAAAATGATTAAGACAATGTATTTGTTGACTCTGTTTTGGTTGTTTCTATCATGTTGAGTGAGATCTTCGAAATCGCTCAACTTTCTGGCTCATAATGCGATCAAATATGGATCATAATAGAAACGACAAGTGGCCATTATTCGTGAACACGTAAATTTCACCATATAAAAAAAAATCAACTAACTATCATTCAGTGGAGACAATAAGTGATTTAACACATATACAACATCCAAAAAAAGGTTATAGCTAACTGTCTGTAGATGAACTGGAACTATGATAAGAACAGAAACAATAAAAATTGTCTGGGTGTGAATTTTTTACATTTTCTACGAACTGATCTAGTCCTTCAACTATAATAACGTCAGCAAAACCTCGTCCCATATGAACACGTGAGAACCAGTGAATTAATGCATCTTCAGAAGGTAAGTATCTGTAAGTGATTAAATATCTTCATTAAAAGCAAGAACGACTAATAATGATATAAATATAATATTGTTTGCTTAAGTATCCAGTTTCATATTCAAACCGGAATGTATATGAATTTACATACGTTAAAATATAATTATTAAAAATAAATTCAAACTGTTTATTTTTCCGATCTGATCATTCTTGTAGCGCGATTTTTCCGTTTAGATCACAGGGAACAGTTTGGTGATATGTAATGAAAGTTAATAACAATTAATTATCCTGAGAAATCGTTCACAATTACTTTGGCAAATTAACACAAGACAAGTTCAATTATCATTTGGATGAATGTTTAAATAGATCAGCTATTTTAGAAGTTGTGAAAGAGACATTTACCAATAATCAATTATCTGAAGGAGATTCTTATCCAACAACATCACATTCTAACCATCTGAATAAAATAAATACACCAGCACATGATATCAATATTCGGTAAGATAATTTACTAAGTTTGATTATATATATATATATATATCATTTAACCAACAGTTCAATGATTCATCGCGTTTCAGTGACAATGTCCAATCGAAATTAATCTTCAGTATAATCGTATTGCCCTCTTCGAATACTTTTAATGGCGACATTAATTGATGAAGAGTAAATATCAACTGTTCACAGTAAAGCTTTTGAAGAATGTGTGCGTATGCTTGAGCCCTCATAAGCCGATGATATGGAAAATAACTGAATGATACAAATTATGAATACAATTTAATTTATCTTACTTATATGAAACCGTGACAAAAGAATATGCAGATAGACAAACACTAATGTTAGAAATTTTCGACATTTTGTTATAGTTATTAAAATGAGAACCGCGACAATGGTGCATCTGTTACCAGACTCTTAATCAGGACATAAAATATTAACAACTAACTGATTTCCCAGTTGGGTGTAAGTTATAGTCCTTCCTAGTGTGATGGTTGCTCAAACTGCACTAGGTGAAGCCGGTTCAAACCTATAACTGAGTGGCTAGGATTCAAACACTTTAACTACTAAGCCATCGATCGTAAATTAGTCATGATAAAGTTAATGCAAACGAGATGCATAGAAATTTCAGAGTAGGATACTTTAATCTAAAAGAGAATGATAGTCTATTCGTTGAATTTATTACATCACATGATTCAGTTTAGATGTTTAGCGCATTCATAACTATCGATTATTGGTATGTTTAGTCTTTTAACGAAACAACTTATTTATTTATACACATGTCTGAAATGATTTCATGAATTAGTTAGTCTTAAATGTACACTAGTATTTATTTGAATTAATTTATTTGAGGATTTGTCAATAAAAAATGTAGTGTTTAAGATTTCTTAACTCTGTAGAATTGCAAATCAAGTAGCTTTTTTTGTTATAAACTCCTTTAGAAATGTAAGTTAAAGACAATGCTGAACTAAAATTTCCTTATCCAAATAGATCTATTCTTGTGGTTTACACTATTCGATACATAATCGATCATGAATAAATCTACTGCAGCTTATTAATATGAAGTTATTTCTTAACATACAAATATTCTTTGTAGTGAGAAGTGGTTATTGTTCATGGGAAGAACGCAAATCGATTAATTCATGTGTGTATTTTAGTTGTCTGCATGTCTTGATACTGTAAGCTTTTTGAGACGGACAAACCAAAATGTGAGACCAGTTTATGAATTCAGTGTCTGTTGATCTTAACCATATTGTTTAGATGTGAGCTAACTGGTTGGTGTCTGTATAAAAACTTCAAGCAGTGGATGAAGATATTGAAAGAGATATCTCTCAATCGGTCACCGGTCTCATAATAGTAGTATTTCTCGAGCTTCAGGCAGCATTTGACTTTGTTGGTCGTGAGGTCCTATGACAGTGCCTGTGAATAAACGGAATACCAGAGAATTACATTAACCTTATACAAGCTATTTACTCGAACGCTACTGGTCGGGTAAGAGCTTATGGCGAACTGTCATCTCACTTTATTATTTCAAGTGATGTTCGTTAAAGTTGTCCACTTTCCCCATTCTTATTCAACTTTGTCATCAATATGGTTTTACAGATAACACTGTCTGAGTCTGACTTTTCAGGAGTTGAACTTTTACCGGGAGATTCACTTGTTGACGTAAAATATGCCAATGGTATAGTTCTATTTGCTGAAGATGCTGACAAAATGCGGAGTCTTCGGACTACCCGAAGCAACAGTGCAAAATGTTACTTCAAGGTTGGCTTGCATGAGCACCTGAGCTGGTGATTGGGAGTGAAGTAGTTGTCTCCATCCTACTTTATGGTTGGAAAACATGGCCAGTCAGAGTAGAAGATAGTCGTAGGTTGCTGGTGTATCCGAAGCATTTCCCATGTATCCTTAGACAACCGAATAAGCAATGCTGTTGTTGGAAATAAGTACTAGATAAGGGTGGCAGATCAACAGATGAAGTAGTGAAACTTCATTAGTTGAGGTGGTTTGGACATGTGTTACGTATATTTCGCGATTTAGGAATAGGTTGGAAGAGAGCTAGTGACGGCCAGACCGAAACATGGTGCAAATCCATGAAGTCACTGACATGTTGGTAGGTGTAGACTACCTGGTTGGGGCATGCATTTGCAATGGCGCATGTGCATTCATTCTTTGTGTTATCTCAAACCCTAACCTTCTGAATCCCGCATCATCTTTATCTTTTTCTTTCTAAGTTTATTTTACTGGATTATACTCCTCAAATAATATCTTCGAACCCTAGTCTTCCCGATTACTGCTAATATTTCTACCATAATGAGATTTAACTCGACGATTGCATCTCTGTGTCAATGTAGTTTGGAAACTTGAACTGATGTACCTACGTACGAAGTTCTAGGTTGTTGCTGATGATCATAATAGTCCAAATGAATTTACTCTCATTCTCGAATCTCTGCGTTGCCTCATACATATGTTTCTATTCTGTTTTTCAAATCTTATTCTCACTATTTATTCCTCATTACCATCGTTTTGATTTGTTCACTGAGCATTTGGTTCTGCTAATGTAGTTCGGAAACTTTGACTCATTCACATTTATCCCAATCTATGCATTGATTATGTCTGACTTACTGACTCACTAACCGTCAACTTTACAGTTAATTTAAAAAAAAACTAATCAGTCGGCATCGTATCAATTTGAAAAACCCCACTCATATTTATTTCATATAGTTCATACTCAGCTATATTAAAAAGAATTCTTGAATCAATACGCCCGACCGTAGCTGCTACCTTGACGTGGTGGTCGGGCTTGCCTATCGTGATGACCCAACCGAGCTATACTGGCTGGAACATAAGTTCCTCAAGGTTCTACCATGCCAGACAGGTCGATTGGAGAACGATGAGACTAAAAGCTACCCAAGGTCTGAGGGCGAAGTCGTACTGCTGACTGCAGAGGGGTGTGACAGCAGAAAGGTGTTTCCCTCGGACAACCAGCATCTGCAGCGATGCTGCCTTCTCACAAGGAAGGAAGGGTTAGAAAAGGTCAAACCTAAAATTGTCACACCTCCCCTATCTCACGGATTTCCATCTCCTTGGGTAAGGGTGCCCACTAAGGGCCTTTAAGAACGGAGCTAATCCTCTAAATACCTTTCATAAAAAGGCCGTGCGTGACCGGCCTCAAGCAGTTGTCCCTTGGACTCTGCGGTCACGCACCAACACTAATCTATCTTCCTTTTCAGGTTCCTCAAGAAACAACCTTCCACGGTGTGGGCAGCCGGGAAGTGACAACCGCCCTCATACCCATAACAGCACGCGAGACCAAATTGGTCAAAATCAAATCCTTCCTACATCCCCTAGTACCTCTCTTATCTCCACGACTAACTCTTCTCACATTCATTTATCACAGTGCACAGCTAATGCAGACGATGCGAGTTCGCGAAACGTCGTTCCTGGTCTCCTTAAACCCCGCTCCAGACTACATGTTGGAGCATTTAATGTACGGACATTGTGTCAAATAGGACTGTGCCTTCAACAAACTGGTCATCGGTGGCACAATATTCCCGCACAAACGCATACAAAGCCACATGGATTTCACCGGATCACACTACTCAAAACCAGATTGATCATATCTGTATCAACAAAACGTTCAGAAGGACTATGGAGGATGTGAGAACCAGGAGAGGAGCTGATGTAGCCTCAGATCACCATTTGCTAATCGCCAAAATGAAACTGAAACTAAAGAAGCACTGGACAACGGGACAGACAACATCACACAAGTTTAATACGGCCTTTCTTCGGGATACTGTAAAGCTCAACGAATTCAAGATAGCCCTCACCAATAGGTTCCAGGCCTTTCAGGATCTACACAATGGAGAGGACACAACATTGGAGAACAATTGGAAAGGGATTAAGGAGGCAATCACTTCAACATGTCAGGAGGTCCTTGGTCGCAAGAAGCAGCATCATAAAATGGGATCTCTGTTGATACTCTCGCAAAAATTGAAGAAAGGAGGAACAAGAAAGCAGCAATCAATGTCAGCCGAACAAGAGCGGAGAAAGTTACCGCACAAGCTGCATACACAGAAGCAAACAGGGAAGTGAAGAAGAGCATCAGAGCTGACAAACGAAAATACGTGGAAGATCTAGCAACGACGGCGGAAAAGGCTGCAAGAGACGGAAACTTGAGACAATTGTACGAAACTACAAAGAAGCTCGCCGGGAACTATCGTAAACCAGAACGACCAGTGAAAAACAAGGAAGGCAAAGTAATCAGCAACACTGACAACAGCGAAATAGGTGGGTAGAGCACTTTAAGGAACTATTGAATCGACCAGCTCCACTGAACCCACCCAACATCGAAGCAGCATCCACGGACCTCCCAATTAATATTGGCGCACCTACGATTGAGGAGATCAGTATGGCCATCAGACAAATCAAGAACGGCAAAGCAGCAGGACCAGACAACATTCCAGCAGAGGCAATGAAAGCAGATGTAGAAGCAACCGCGAAAATATTTCACATCCTCTTCAAGAAGATTTGGGATGAGGAACAAGTACCATCAGATTGGAAAGAAGGATACCTGATCAAAATACCAAAGAAAGGTGATCTCAGCAAGTGTGAGAACTACAGGGGCATTACTCTTCTTTCAATACCAGGCAAAGTCTTCAACAGGGTATTGTTAAACAGAATGAAGGACTTCGTAGACGCCCAACTTCGAGATCAACAGGCCGGATTTCGTAAGGATCGATCGTGTACTGACCAAATTGCTACATTACGGATCATTGTGGAACAGTCAATTGAATGGAACTCACCACTGTACGTCAACTTCATCGACTACGAGAAAGCATTCGATAGCGTGGACAGGAAAACACTGTGGACTCTTCTTCGACACTACGGGGTGCCTGAGAAAATAGTTAACATCATACGGAACTCTTATGATGGATTCAACTGCAAAATCGTGCACGGAGGACAGCTAACAGACTCTTTCGAGGTGAAGACCGGTGTCAGGCAAGGTTGCTTACTCTCACCCTTTCTCTTTCTCCTGGTGATCGACTGGATTATGAAGACGTCGACGTCTGGAGGGAAGCACGGTATCAACTGGACAATTAGGACGCAGCTGGACGATCTGGACTTCGCAGATGACTTGGCTCTTCTATCGCACACTCAACAACAAATGCAAGAGAAGACGACCAGTGTAGCAGCAGTAGGTCTCAACATACATAAAGGAAAAAGCAAAATTCTCCGATGCAACACAACATGCACCAATCAAATCACGCTTGATGGAGATGCCTTGGAGGACATTAACACCTTTACATATCTGGGCAGCATCATCGACAATCAAGGTGGATCCGATGCAGATGTGAGGGCACGGATTGGCAAAGCAAGGGCTGCATTTCTACAGTTGAAAAATATCTGGAATTCCAAACAGATATCAATCAACACCAAAATAAGGATTTTCAATACAAATGTCAAGACAGTTCTAATGTATGGAGCGGAAACATGGAGAACTACCAAAGCCATCATCCAGAGGATACAAGTGTTTTTTAACAGTTGTCTACGCAAAATACTTCGGATTCGTTGGCCAGACACGATCAGCAACAACGAACTGTGGGAGAGAACAAACCAGATTCCAGTGGAGGAGGAAATCAGGAAGAAGCGGTGGAAGTGGATAGGACACACATTGCGGAAAGCACCTAACTGCGTCACGAGACAAGCCCTCACATGGAACCCTGAAGGCAAAAGGAAAAGAGGAAGGCCAAAGAATACATTACGCTGAGAAATAGAGAAAGATATGAGAGGAATGAACAAACATTGGACAGAACTGGAGAGAGAAGCCCAGGACAGAGTTGGTTGGAGAAAACTGGTGGGCGGCCTATGCTCCATTCGGGGTAACAGGCATAAGTAAGTAAGTAAGTAATACATAACACTACAATAGTTACAAAAGGTGTAACAATCAGTGATGTTCGTTTCTAATGCAAGGTATAATTAATAAGGTGAGCTAATATGGATCTTAAAAGTGATTATTGATCGCTTTGAAATCGATTTTCAAACAGTATGAAAACAAATAATATAGTGGATTAAGGATTGATGGGATCGCCTCAACAGTGCTATTAATATTTCAAGACATTGTTAAACGACACTTAGTAGTGATATGACATTGTAAACACTCTGTCTGTAGTTAATGATATTGTTATAATTGACTTTTCGATTACATTCTACTTTAGTACACCACTTTTACGTAGTTTATTTGAAATCATGTAGACACTATACACATAGTGGTATTTAGTCAAATGACAAAAGGCTTTTTTCTCTTGTTATGCGATTGAGCGAATCTTGAACTATTGTTGGGTTAGTTGCCTGATCTATCTAATCACATTAGATCAGCTTTAAGCAAAAATTCTGATTAGTGATGTCAATCGTAGTGTTTGGTTCGCTTATAATGATAATATTATAAGAGGCGTTAAAAGTCAAATATACTACTTATTTTATCAAAACTGGGGATCGCAAGTTAAAATATAGAGATAGACAGTCTGTCACTAAAGTTGACCTACAAGTTTAAAAAATGCACTGTATTTTTTTCGGCTTAAAGAGTTACATGGAATTTTTGAGGGTGGGTCAACTGTATCGGTAGATACTCAATCATTAAACTTATAGAAGCCTCAAAAATCAACAGTCATTCAAGAATGGCCAGTAACTCCATCATAACAAGAAGCATTCGAGTAATGGATAAAGGCATTTAGCGCTGACTAGAATAATCTTTACTTTGAGGTGGTCAAAATACTTCCTTAATCTTAAAAAAAGTAATTTTTCTTAATGAAAATAATACGAGTTAACCATTGCATCAATTTTTTTCACTTGACTTACTCCTTCAACTAAAACAAGTTGAATAGTGCCAATCTGTTTCTGATTAAATTCTAAACTCTTATTTCGACACTTCATTATTAATTCGTTATGTCGTCGTTTTTTCACTTCAATCGGTACGTTATCAGTTAAATGATGATAGGCATAAGTTTTCTAAAATGAAATCAAATTACAACAAATGGTGGAAACAAAGTACAAAAATCCCAGCAAGAAGAAATTTTTTTCTATATTAACCGTTTGAATGAAAACGTAATAGTCAAGTAGATTGTAACGTTTCTTGCTTTCGAGTATTAGAATACTAGACCATATTCAGGATTGTATGAGGTGAGTCACATTAACTTAGCCTATAGAGAAGCTGGGATTTAGTTTCAGTATTTTATACTAACGTGTCATAAATGACCAATGATACCTTAATCCCAAGGAGTACAGTGAGAGGAAACAACAGTCGTATTAGTAACAGTTAATATTGAAAATAGGATGGATTTTGTTCGAAGAACAATTGAAACGAAGGAACGAAAAAGTATAAAATAATATTGAAGCAAGATAAAAGATGAATGTATCCATGGAATCACAACCGATTCCCAGTTGTCTCACTGAATGTCTCCAACAATTCATGACAATAGTTGCCTGGTCCTGAAGCAGAAAATCTAAACTTCCCAACATTTAGTGGGTTTACGGATTGACGGTACTTTTAATTTGGTTTGCCACTTACCTTTGCTTCATTGCTAGTCACTAATGGTATGTCGGGGTAGGTGATGTTTAGGCATACGGAGCATATTCCCGGCACTTAAGTCACTAGACGTTCACCGTCTTATCAAACACAGCCCACCTTGAAACAAAGTGTTGAGCTACATAGTATAAATGGGCTTCGAAATGATGAAATGAGTAGGCCTAATGAAATGTGTGGATGAGAGTTATTGTATAAATCTTACTGCAATAAGTTCAATTTCTACATGTGGTGGTGCGATACCACCTCGTGGGCTTAAAGTGTAAGGAATTATCCATTATCATGGATACTTTCATTTAAATAAAGTGACTTGAATATAACACAGAAAGTAACTATTCCACCCTAGTATTTTGAAAAACTTTATTATTCTTCTTCTAATAAAATTACTGAGCTTAACCCACTGCAGCGATGTCCGTTTATGCAACCAGATGAGATTATTTGTCTTCGTATAGTAAGTTATTGGCCTACGGTTGAACACATACATAACTTCATTCGATGTTAAGTGACCAATTCATTGGAGTGAAAAGTGGTGGTGAAATAGAGGAAAACTTCGAACACAATATGAATGACACACACCTCACGCATACTGTACGGGAAACAAAAACAAAATGAATAACCAACACGTTCAATAAGTTCAAGTGATTGAGAATGATCTTCTTCAGTTTCACCACAAAATCCTGCGATAAAATCACTTGTAAGGCTAACATCTGGAAAAAGATAACAAAAATAGTATGAGCTACTTTTGTTAGAAAATAATTCACACAAACATATATCAAAACTGAAATCATAACTTAATCAACAACTCCGTCGTTCTCTTGCTTTTCACTTTCTGCTTTACAGAATACTAGTTAATAATATCAAGTAGTACGAGTTGTATTCCACGTGTTGGTACAAATGGAACTCCATGAGTCTCATTCATTATAAGCAAGTATAGTACCAAATAGAACTTGTTCATCATGTTGATTGTATCATATAAGAATGATCATATATGCTTAGAAATGAAAACGTCAAAAATACAATTCTTCTTGCTGAAACATTCCAGTCATTTTTCTGTCTAGAACTTTATACTATAAGGCTGTGTTTATTGGTCTCCCGTAATTATTTTTGGCCTTTATTCAACTTACTGGTACATATTACTCTTTGAAAGTTTGTTTGTAAGGTAACCTTACTATCTAAATACAAAGCCTAGTTTATTTGTTATTTATTAAGATTCTTGCTCGATACAGATGAGGATTGTTTTCTGACTTGTAGAATGTTCTGCAAGTCTATTTATTTCAATAATACAACTTTTTAATTACAATTTTGACCATGTAACTGACTCCTGAATGCTTGACAATTCGACGTTTCTAAGTTGTTAATGTTCATTAATTTCCATCAAAATGTTGTACTTTTGGAGAAATCTCATCTGTTTCAATCAAGGGTTTTTCAGGTAAGTCATTGCCTTAGAACTCTTATGGGATTCAATCAATCAATAGCAACGCAGAACTTCGAACGTACGTACATCAGTTCATGTTGCCATACCACGTTAGCACAGAGATGTAATTGTCAATTCAAATCCAATAGTGGTAGAGAAAGTATAAGTATTAGCAGTAGTCGGAGAGGTTAGGATTAGAAGATATTAGACAAGAAGTAGAATCTAGTGAAATATACTTAAAAAGATAAAGTGATGAAGAACTGAAAAGTTTAGAATTTGAGAGAACACAAAGAGTGAATGCACCTGCGCCAATGCAAACGGTTTTGAGCCATGTCATTCAGGGTCTCTAACCATCGATTACTAAGATCTCGTGGACCCCAACCAGGTAGCCTACACCTACCGACATGACTCGGTCCACTTGTCAGTAACTTCATAGATTTGTGTCATGTTTTCGTTTGGCCGCCCCTAGCTTTCTTACAACCTACTCCTACACCACAAAACATAGCTTGTCGAGGCAGTCGGTGGCTGGGGATTCATAACACATGTCCCAACCACCTCAGCTGATGAAGCTTCAATACTTCATCTATTGATCTGCCATCCCTACCTAGCACCTGTTTCCTAATAACAGCATCGCTCACTCGGTTGTCTCGGGATATACGAGCAATGCTTCGAAGACACTTATGATCGAAAAAAAGTAACCTACGAATGTCTTGTACTCTGCCTGGCCATGTTTCACAGTCACATAGTAGGACGGATGGAACTACTGCACATTACACTCGTCTTTTGGTTCGCAAACGGATGTCTCGCCTGCGCCATAAGTGACGCAAGTTGGCAAAAGTCATTCGAGCCTTCTGTATCCTATCTGAGATTTCGTCAGTCACCAGGCCATCAGCACTGATGAGACTCTTATGATAAGTGAAGCGCCCAACACGCTCAGCTACTTTACTCTCTGTTACTAGTTCAGGTGCCGATGCAAGCAAACCCTGAAGCAACATTTTGCTTTTGCAGGGGTAGCACCGCATCCCGAACATGCTTGCACTGTTGCTTAGGGTAGTCAGAAGACTCTGCATTTTGTCAGCGTCTTCACCAAATAGAACTGTCATCGGCATATTCTAAGTCAGTAAGCGATTTTCCTAGTAGAAGGTCCACTCCTGAATATTCAGACGAGGACAAGGTTAAATCTAGCAGCATGTCTATGATGAAATTAAACAAGAATGGAGAAAGTGGACATCCCTGACGGACACCACTTGAAGTAAAGAATTCCGATGACAGTTAGCCATAAGCGTTCGAGTGGAGAGCTTGTATAAGGTTAATGTACTTCTTTGGTACACCTTTCAATGACAGACACTGTCACAGAAACTCACAATCGACAGAGTCTAGTTTCGCCATGAGGTCCACGAAGATAACAGTTATCAGAGGCCTAGATGTGTGTCTGTTCCAAGACCTGTCGTAGTGTGAAAATGTGTTCTATACAGCCACGTCCAGGTCGAAAACCAGCCTGGGTTTCTCTAGTCTGCTCTTCACGAGCTCTAGTTACGCGTCCCAGTATAATCGAGGCTAACAATCTAGAAACTATATTAGTTAGCCTGATCCCCCTGTGATTGTCACAATAAGACTTGTCCTTTCTTATAGATTGGGACGATCAGTGATTGAGATCAGTCGGATGGGATTACGTCCAGTTCCCAGATTCTACCTAAGGTTTCAGTCAATCTAGTTGTTAAAGCTGGACCACCATCCTTAAATATCTCGGAGGTCAATTGATCGGGACCCACTGCTCTCCATCGCTTTCTCAACTTCACTTAGAGTCAGATGACGTAGTCTATTTGCCACTCAGGTTGACTTGAGATCATGAACAAACGAAGTGTGGCTGAAGGCCAGTTGAACTGATCCCTAAAGTGTTCTGCCCATCGGTACAGTCTCCTGGATTGAGAATCGATAATAAGACCATCCTTTATCGAGATAGATTCACTCACATTCGGGTTCCTAATACTGGTTTCCTTGATGAGTCTGAATATTGCTTACTGTTGTCTATCACCGCTGCCTTTTCCATCTGTCTCGCTTTCGCCACCCACCACTGTTCGCCGTAGTTACGTAGGTTTTTTATCAGCCTGCGCCTAAACTGACTTCGTTCTTCGTCATGCTTAGAGCCAGGTGGGATACGTTTTCGAGCATCCATCAGTTCGGTGGATGCGACTGAAATCCACGGCTTCTTCCTAGCCTTATGCTTTACCTTACTAGCAGACATCACTGCTGTTTCAACAACCCTTTTGATATCATTCGGATAGGAATCACTTACAAGGTCGCCTGTCTGTCTAGTTGTTCCTGAAATATATTCTTAGCTATGCTATCATTAGATAGAACCCTGAGAGGTTTTCTGGGAGGGTCTTTCTTTCGTCCAGTTAGTCGCAAACAAATACGCGTTCGGTCTAGGGCATGATTTGATTCTAGACATGTGCCACAGAACAAGCGACAGTCCTCTATCGAACCTCACCACCCATGGCTGATGGCGATGTGATCTAGTTGGGTAAAAGGCTGAGACGACTTGAGGGGTCGCCAAGTCAAAAGATGTTTTTCCTTATGCCTAAAGTTAGTGTCTGCGAGAAATAGGTGGTTATCTGAGCACAGTTGCAACAGACGGCCGCCAGTATCTGTTTCTCTGAGCCGCGACACCATAAGATCCACCCAGGTGACTTTCCTTCTCACTTACTCTACCTACTTGATCATTGAAGTCAGCAGCCATTATCGCTATATCACAGCGCCTAACTTTATGAAAAAGTTTAGAAAGCTTTCTGTAAAACTCATCACAGCGCCTGTAACACTCATCTTCCACCTCGTCTGAACTGCAGTCAGTGGGAGCGTAGGCAGATACGATGCAAAGGCGACGGCGAGTGTCCCTATCTTTCCGAGTCCTTACTGTCCTGTTCAGTCGGACAGCACACAAGCGACTATATACTGGGATCCAGTCTAGGAGAGCTAGTTCTGCCCTAGGACTCAATGCAATACCTACACCAGTGAGACCACGGGAAGCAGCATCACGGACACCGGATACACAAAGAGTAAATCGAGCTGCTTCTTTGTTTTGACAAGGTGAGATCAAATTAATGATTTTAATAGGATCGTGTATGCGCGTTTCAGAGGCACAGCATAGATCGATTGAGCGAGATTTTAATATCCTAGCTAAGGAAGCTTGTTGCCCTATTTGACACAATGTCTGTACATTAAGTGCTCCAACATGTAATTTAGAAGTGGGTTTCAGGAGACCAGGAATGTCGTTTCGTGAACTCGCATCGTTCGCATTAGATGTGCAGAGTGATAAAGGAATATGAGAAGAGTTAGTCGTGGAGATAAGAGATATGTTAGGGGCTGTACGAATGATTTGATTGTGACCAATTTGGTCTCGCGTGCTGTTACGGGTATGAGGGCGGATGTCACTTCCCGGCTGCCCACACCGTGGGAGGTTGTTTCGTGAGGAACCTGAAAAGGAAGGTATATTAGCGTTGGTCTTTACGACCTGAGAGCGTGACCTCAGACTCGAATTAACAACTGCTTGAGGTCGGTCACACACGGCCTTTTTATTAAAGGTATTTTGCGTATTAGCTCCGCTCTTAAAAGCCCTTAGTGGTCACCCTTACCACCGGGGACGGAAATTCGTGAGGTAGGTTGAGGTGTGACAATTCTGGGGTCGCCCTTTTCTAACCCTTCCTTCCTTGTGAGAAGGCAGCATCGCTGCAGAAGCTGGTTGTCCGAGGGAAACACCCTACTGCTGTTACACGTCTCTGGAGTCAGCAGTACGACTTCGCCGTCAGACCTTGAGTAGCTGCTTTTAGTCTCACCGTTCTCCAATCGACCTGCCTGGCATGATAGAACCTCTAGGAACATATGTTCCAGCCAATATAGCTCGGTCGGATCATCACGGTAGGCAAGCCCGACCACCACGTCAAGGCAGCGGCTTCGGTCGGGACTCTTATAGGATTACTGCAGCTTTTTTAGACTTCAATTATATACGGATATTGTGCGGCAAGTTGTTTGCTAATACAATTAATTATACTCTAGTCAAAACTTTAAGCGACTGCCATACAAGAGTAGGTAATTTTAAGATTATTTCAGTCAGTTTTTCCAATCTAGTAAAAGGATGTTTAGTTTGAGCTCAGTGATATTAAAAAACTTACATGAAGTTAATTATTTATAGTGTAACAAATGAAATAAAAATTACGAACTTGGGATTATTTCATGAATGGTATCCACCAATGCTGTATAAGCTTGTCTAGTATAGCCTCTTCTCATATTTTCTAGCACAGAGTCACTGCCTGATTGAGCTGGTAAATGTATATTCGAACAAATGTTTTTACGTTCAGAAATCAATTTAAGAACCTAGACGAAAATATTAAAAAATGGAATTTTCAAATATCAGCTATTAAAATGTAGAAACTAGAAATTTCACTTCAGTTTGATAAGAATTGAATGCTAGATAACATTATAACAAGAAACAACTCATAAACGGAATACAAATCCTGTTAGTTTGTGTTTCCGTGCAAGAAGGTTCAAATATGATGCTTATGTTGACATTTTCAGCATCATTAGCGTTTACTTCATAAATTTTCCAACTATTTCGCAGATGTCTGATCCGTTCATTTTAATAACCTTATTTGCAATTGATTACCTTAGTGGACTTCACAGTGTTTGTGGTCAAACTAACTGACTCGTACAATATAATAGCATTGAGATGGAAATCTTCTCCATCAGAGATACTAGTGATTTAGCATTGAGTGTATGTATGAAAGAATAATGATGGTACAGAACTTTAGACATTTAATCCTTCCATTGTGTGTGCCTCAAAATGGGAGTTTCAAGACTAACTCATTAGGCTGAAGTTAATTATTAAATGATTCACAGACTCATGTATTCTCCATCTGCTGTTATTCCAGCTGAAATTTTAACATGTGCAACTTGGGTACAGGAATGAATAGAGAAAATATTTAACTCGATGGTTAAAATCCAACATACAGTGAGTCTTTATTATAACTGATATTAATAAATTTTAATGATATTAATCGTAAAAATTATTGCACAAATCTACAAGAACTCTGGCTAAGCATGTACTCTATTTTGAGCGAACATGGAGATAAATATGGATAGTACAGACATAAAATAACTAACCTCCATTGGGAAATCTTTTGGATGTGGTGATGTAAATCGAATACGCAGTTCTGGACTTATCTGACTTATTTGATTTAATAAATCGAAAAATCTTAAACCACCAACTTTTGGTTTGTAAACAGTTTTGAATCCAGGGACTAGTGTTGAAACGGTTTTAGACGAATTAACTGATAATTCTGTATTCGACTTGTCACAATAACTATTAACATTTTGTCCCAGCAAAGTGATTTCTCTTACTCCCTTGCATTTAAATGAACGAAAGAAAAGAGGAAAAAACAAAATAACAATTAAAATTACCAAAGACGCTATAGAATGAATGACTGAAAGTCCGTACACTTATAAATTCATTCTGGATCAACGAGAAAATCAAAATTTAATACTCTAAAGAAGTAAAGAAAATAGGTATTCCGCGACGCGACTTTTTAAAAAGATTAAATGAGTTACGATTTTGTGGAGCAACTATGTTATAACTCTAAAAGAGAATTACAACTTCCATGGTGTAGGCAGCCGGGAAATGGCATCCGCCCTCATAACCGTACCGACACACGAAACCAAGTGAGTCACAATCGAATACTCTCTACACCTCTTAATAACCCTCATCTCCACAATCAACCCTTCTTTCATTCATTTACCATCTAGTGCTATCAATGTATGCTGCGTCTCCAGAACGCGCACACAGGATCCCAGTAAAATCAATTATTTGATTTCACCTCGTCAAAATAAAAAAGCAGCCCGATTTACTCTTCGTGTATCCGGTAGCCCTGATGCTGCTCGCTGGTGTAGGTATAGCATCAAGACCTAGGGCAGAACTAGCTCTCCTAGACTGGATCCCAGTATATAGTCGCTTGTGTGCTGTCCGACTGAACAGGACAGTAAGGACTCGGAAAGATAGGGACACTCGCCGTCGCCTTTGCATCGTATCTGCCTACGCTCCCACTGACTGCAGTTCAGACGAGGTGGAAGATGAGTGTTACAGGCGCTGTGATGAGTTTTACAGAAAGCTTTCTAAACTTTTTCATAAAGTTAGGCGCTGTGATATAGCGATAATGGCTGCTGACTTCAATGATCAAGTAGGTAGAGTAAGTGAGAAGGAAAGTCACCCGGGTGGATCTTATGGTGTCGCGGCTCAGAGAAACAGATACTGGCGGCCGTCTGTTGCAACTGTGCTCAGATAACCACCTATTTCTCGCAGACACTAACTTTAGGCATAAGGAAAAACACCTAACAATGAGACCTCCAAAATCGATCCAACAAAATTACATTACTATCAATCACCGGTGGAAAGTCTTGATAGAAGACTGCCACTTGTTCCGGAGCACACGCTTAGATTTAAATCAAGCTCTAGTAAAAGCAGTTATTTTTGCGTCTTACTGGACACAGGAAAGGCAGCAAGAAAGTTTCTTAAGGTCCTACTTAGTGATAGCATAGCTAAGAATATATTTTAGGAACAACTGTACAAAAATAAACAGCTATGTAAGTTCAACCTGAGGCAGCTTGGAATGATATCAAAAAAGATGTGGAGACAGCAGTGATATCTGCCAGTGAGTTAGACGATAGAGGAAGGGAGAAGCAGTGGATTTCTGTAGCACCTACTGAACTGATAGATGATCAGAAACTCATCCCATCTAGCTCTGAACATGACGAAGAGCGGAGTCAGCTTAAGCGCAGGCTGATAAAAAACCAACGCAATGGTCGCGAACAGTGGTGGGTAGCAAAAACGAGGGAGATGAAAAAGGCAGCGGCGATAGGTAACAGTAGACAACTTCAGACTTATCAATGAAACTAGAATTAGAAATCTCACTGATAGTCAGACTATCTCGGAAAAAGATGATCATATTATTCATTCTTTAACCAGGAGATTGGATCGATGAGTAGACCTGAGAAAAGCCGGCTGGTTTCATACCAGGACGTAGATGTATGGGCCAAATATTCACTCTTCGTCAGGTCATAGAGCATTTACACACATTCATACGTCCCAAAATAGTAGTATTTCACGACCTTAAGGCGGTATTAGACTCTGTTGATCGCGAGGTTCTCTGGCAGTGTCTTTCATTGAAAGTAGTACCACAGAGGTATATTAACGTTATACAGGCCCCTCTACTCGAACACTACTGGCCGATTTAGAGTTTTTGGCGAACTGTCATCAGAAGTAATTACAGCAAGTGGTGTTGGCCAGAACTGTCCACTTGCCCCATATTTATTAAACTTTATCGTTGACATGATTCTAGATACGATACTTTCATGATCTGACTTTTCCAGAATTAAACTTTTATCAAGATTCATCCACCGACTTAGAATATGGTCCTATTTGGTGAAGACGCTGACAAAATGCAGAGTCTTCTGACTACCCTAAGCAACAGTGCAAGCATGTTCGGGATGCGGTGCTACCCCTGAAAAAGCAAAATGTTGCTTCAGGGTTTGCTTGCATCGGCACCTGAACTAGTAACAGAGAGTAAAGTAGTTGAGCGTGTTAGGCGCTTCACTTATCATAAGAGTCTCATCAGTGTTGATGGCCTGGTGACTGACGAAATCTCAGCTAGAATACAGAAGGCTCGATTAGCTTTTTCCGTCACTTATGGCGCAGGCGAGATATCCATCTACTAACCAAAGGACGGATATACCGCGCAGCGTTTTGTTCCGTCCTACTTTACGAGTATGAAACATGGCTAGTAAGACCAGAGGGTATCTGTCGGTTACTAGTATTTGATTATAGATGGCTTCGAAGCATTGTTCGTATATCTTGGGGCAATCGGGTAAGCAATGATATTGTTAGAAAACACGTACTAGATAAGGGTAGCAAATCAATTAATGAAGTAGTGAATTTTGATCAGTCGAGATGGTTGAGCAAGTTTTACGTAAGCACAACCACTGACTGCTCTGACGAGTGATGTATTGTGGTGTAGGAGTAGATCAGGAGAAAGCTATGGGCATTCAGACCAAAACATGGCACAAATCCACGAAGTCATGTTGGTAGGTGTAAAATACCTGGTTGGAGTCCGCGAGATAATAATAACCGATGGTTAGAGACCTTGAATGACATGGCTTAGAATCGTTTATAAGGGTGCAGCTGAATCCACTCCTTGTGTTATCCTAAATTCGAATCTGAATTCCTTATGGCCTTCACCTTCCTTTTCTTAAATTGACTTCACCAGATTACACTCCTTGAATAACGTCTTCAAACCCTAAACTTTCCGATCACTACTCATACTTCTACTGTAGTGAAAGCGAACACAGGTGAGGGCAACCGAATTGTATTTATCGAAAATTACAGAGTTGATTGTTAAAATAGGAAAACCATATCGTAAACCGTTAATTTGTAAACATCAATCCATTGTCTGACATTTCACTGTTCATGCGTTCCATACAAATTCCATTGTGTTCCCACTCTTCCTTTCTTGATCTTCCCTCATCTGCTGCTGCCAGACATTACGTTTTCACTCCCGTCATATACTACTTATAAGTAGCGTGCACCACACTCGTCCCTTTTAATAAGCTGTCGTCGTAGTCTTTCTGATCGCCGTATCGCTGTCTTCATTGGTGCTTTCCGTGACTCACACGCTTGATAATCTTGAAACCACCTCTGCAGTTGACTGGCATTTACACGTTTCTGCTTGTCTTCTCTACGGGTCGTGTACACCGCGCCGCGTCTCTCCGCGATAACGTACGGTCTATCCCACTTTGGGATCAGCTTTCCCCACCCTGATCCCCCTGCTACGCTGCTTTTTTGTTCTCTACACTTTACTAGGTCCCCCACTGCAAAAGGTTTCCACGTTATCCTCTGTTGTTCCGCCTTCTTTATGTCTGATATTTGCTTCTTTCCCACGTTCCTGATTGCCTCTCTCCTCTCTTTTCTTAACCTTGTTGTTGTCCATTGCTGTTGTTGTGGCCAGATCTTATTGTGCAATGGAAGTCGTGGTTGGCTGCCATACATGAGCGAGGAGGGTGATTTCTTGGTTGTACCTTGTATGGAGGAACGATGCACCAGCAAAATCAACGGTAACTCTTCCTCCCAATCTCCTCCTTTAGATACTAACCATTCCTTTAACGTCCGGTTGTTTCTCTCTGTAAGCCCGTTTGTCTGAGGATGATACGGTGTAGTTCGTATCCTCTTGATGCCAAACTGTTTTAGACGGTCTTTAAATTCGTCACTTTCAAAACAGGGACCCTGGTCAGTTAATATCATTTTCGGTATTCCGTGGCACGCTACAATATGCCGGATCACCACTTCGGTCACTGTTCTTGCCCGCTGGTCTGCAATTGGTACGGCATCTATCCAGCGTGTAGCATGCTCCATCATCACTAGCAGGTACCGGTTACCGGTCGCCGTCTGTGGAAACGGTCCTATTATATCCACCGACCATAGATCGCCGACTGCGGTTACTGGGATCGACTGTAATGGCGGTTGTGTGTATCTATCGCTTTTCATTAGTTGACACTGCTGGCAAGTTAACACGTATTGAGCCACATCGTCTCTCATGCCCGGCCAGTATGCACTTTGTCGTAATAAATCCATCGTTCTTGCGATGCCTGTATGTGCTACCTGGTGACACTCGTGTATCATCTTACGCCACCAGTCTTTCGGGATTTCAGCCACCCAATTCTTGTCATCGTCCTGCCAGGTCAGGACTCCATATGCGTTCACTTTCAGTCGTTCTTTTTGCCGAAGTAACATTATTACCTCCTTGTCCGTCGTTCGTTTGTCTACGTCTGCACCTTCTTTTACCACTCTGATTGCCTCTTTAAGGTTCGGGTCAGCTTTCTGTTGCCGGATGAGTTCTAATGGGTCTCCCTCTAAACTATTCACCGCGTATGCTGTCACTCGAAGGTCAGCTTCCACGTCTGATCTTGGCAAGTAATCCGCCATTACGTTTTCTTTTCCTGGAACATGGCCGATACTGAAGTCGTATTCTTGCAGACGTATCATCCACCGCGCCAACTTCCCTCGAGGGTCTCTTGCTGCGCTTTCTCCCTGTTCACTGGGCTGTCGAACTCCGTCGTCAGCCGCCCGGTGACCGTATTCCACGTCGTCTCCCCGCCAGCACCGTCCAAGCTGTCATATACGGCCTTCGCCTTACCTCTCAACAGCGTCCCCAGCACCACCAACTTCGCCTTCGGCTCCTTCACACCCACCAGCTCCGCCACGGCCTCAAACTCCTTCAGGAAGCTCCTCACATCTCCGTCTTCAAATTCTTTCGGCCATCGAATCTTCATCCTTTGTGTAGGCAGCGACATCAAATGTAGTGAAGGCGAACACAGGTGAGGGCAACCGAATTGTATTTATCGAAAATTACAGAGTTGATTGTTAAAATAAGAAAACCATATCGTAAACCGTTAATTTGTAAACATCAATCCATTGTCTGACATTTCACTGTTCATGACCAAAACATGGCACAAATCCACGAAGTCATGTTGGTAGGTGTAGAATACCTGGTTGGAGTCCGCGAGATAATAATAACCGATGGTTAGAGACCTTGAATGACATGGCTTAGAATCGTTTATAAGGGTGCAGCTGAATCCACTCCTTGTGTTATCCTAAATTCGAATCTGAATTCCTTATGGCCTTCACCTTCCTTTTCTTAAATTGACTTCACCAGATTACACTCCTTGAATAACGTCTTCAAACCCTAAACTTTCCGATCACTACTCATACTTCTACTGTAGTGAAAGCGAACACAGGTGAGGGCAACCGAATTGTATTTATCGAAAATTACAGAGTTGATTGTTAAAATAGGAAAACCATATCGTAAACCGTTAATTTGTAAACATCAATCCATTGTCTGACATTTCACTGTTCATGCGTTCCATACAAATTCCATTGTGTTCCCACTCTTCCTTTCTTGATCTTCCCTCATCTGCTGCTGCCAGACATTACGTTTTCACTCCCGTCATATACTACTTATAAGTAGCGTGCACCACACTACTACCTCTACCATTATGGGATTTAAATAAGACAATTGCATCTTTATGCTATCATGGTATGAAAACTTGAACTGATGTACTTATGTATGAAGTTATACATTGTTAGTGACTGACTGGAACAACTATTTTCTTTCAGGTCAACTTTGATTGGCTCATGATTTTAATGATATTGATAAGTTTCTCTACAGCGAGATTTTATTTAGGTGACAAAATCATTTTGGAGAGGTATTATTGCTTATAGTTACTATTTGAAAAGCGATCTACTCCATCACTTCAGATGAATGGACTTTTTTACCAAAGATTCATCTTAGTTTTATTTAACTTGTAAAATTTATTATAGGAATGTTTCTGTTCATACGTACAATAAAGTGAGGCTGTTTTCGTCCACCAATAAAACTGGGCGGTGTTATATAGCAAATCGATTACAGTTGTAGCAGTAAACACCAACCGATATCAACTCATTAGTCTAAAAATAATACAATCGTTGTGCGGCGTGAAGGTTCTTGGTTGGGTACACACCATTGATAAGTCTTACACCAGGACGAAAGAGTTTTTCAATGAGCTCTGACTTTCTACAATATCTCCGCTACTATCATTCAATAATTAAAACTAACATTGCAATTATATGACACAGAAGCGGATAAATTGCACTCTTATCAATGAAGAAGTGATAGATTATCAAATAGCAAAATTTAAAAATGTTGAGAAAAGAATAATCTATTTTGAACATAGATTTAAAATTTTTACATACAACTTCAACTAATTATTTTCAGACTGTATGAGTTAGTTTTTAATCAGATCTAAATTTAGGTAAACTGATGTTTAATCACTCATTCATTTGAACTTCTACGACGACTGTGCGAAACAATCCGATCAAAAGTTAAAAGTAAATTGATACAGTATACGAGGAATTGAAATATGAATAAGATTTTGTTCCCACTGACACTAATAACTTTAATAAAATCGTCACTTCTAAGAAAACGAAATAATATGACTAAAATGTTCATGAGCATTAAATCTTACACCTATTAATAATATAATTCTGGTTAATAAAAAACAAGAAACGAGTGAATCTACCTCATTATATAACCCTTGTGCCTCGTGAAGGATTGAATCCAATGGTCTACTACGTTCACGCCCTCTGACAAAAGGTACAATACAATAGGTGCACATATTATCACACCCACGCATGACTGACAGGAAGGCGGTAGGAGCAGGAATTGACTCCGAAGAATCATTAGTTGTAAAATGACGCCGTACAGGGGTTACATCTGCATATGTCTCCTCCAGAGACAACGCGACGCTAGCGCCTTTTAGTCCAGAATGAGCATCTTCAATAAGTTTCGGCAAATCACGATATGAATCAGGGCCGCAAACGAAATCTGCGGCAACATTGTAATTATTGTGACTGACATGAGAGAAATGACCACTTGTTTCTAATGTTTTACAGCTGTCATCCATGAGGAGTTTATCCTTTAATCTTTTGGCCATACATCCTGAAATTTTATTAGGTAAAATGTCATTAACATATTTTTGAACTTGGTTATTGTTACTACTAGTATGTACATTATTGAAGATCACACTTTTCGAAAATCATCTAACGATTAAAGGGTGAAGGGTTTGAACCGATATGCAACTATGGGAAAGTTTGTCTGGGTTTTTCTACCATTTTATAGGACGGCAAATCTTGTTTCCAAACTTCTAGTTGTGATACACTTAAAACAAGTTTATATTTCAAACCTTTCGTACAACCGCAGCTAAGCAATCCCTCTTGGTGGAATAACTTTAACTAATTTTGAGTGCCTAACACTTATTTTTCGTTCTTCTGTTTTTTAAAGACAACCCTCTTCCAACTTAAGGTCAAGAATGGTAACTCCTTGATGGAGTTTATAAACGCGCAGCAGTCTGGTAACAAAACAAAGAAGAGAAGACTAGAATACTGCTCACTTAACTTTCCGAACGTGAATATCAAGGACAAGATACTTAATTACTTACTCATACCTGTTACCCCCAATGGAGCATACGCCAGTGATCAGTCTTCTGTAACCTTCTCTATCCTGGGATTCCCTTTCCAGTTCTGTCCTATTTTTGTTCATTCTTCTCATATCTGTGTCCGTTTCTCAGTGCGGTGTGTTCCTTGACCCTCCTCTTCTTCTTTGTCCCTGAGGGTTCCAAGTGGGGGTTGTTCTTGTGAAGAAGTTAGGTGTTTCCGCAGTATGTATCCCGCCTACTTCCACCGCGTCTTCCTGATTTCCTCCTCCACTGGAATCTGGTTTGTTCTCTCCCACAGTAGGGTGTTGCTGATGGTGTCTGACCAAAGGATCCGATGTGTTCTGCGTTGTAGCTGCATAACGTGCGTTCCTGTAGCTATTCCAATGTCGTCGCATCAATCAAAATGTCTCCGAGATAAGCCGCGACCCCTGAGATACGTGATAGGACGGTATCCATCAGTTGCTGGAAGATAGATGGGGCAGTCTTGACTCCAAAAGGTAAACGGTTATACTGGAACATACCATGATGAATATTTAAGGTAAGCAGCTTTTTAGATGCTTCATCTACTTCCACTTGCAAGTAAGCATCAGATAGATCCAGTTTCGCTCAAAACTTTCCCGCATTCAGCTTAGTAAACAAATCTGCCGGTACTGGCAGATGTTGTTCCAGAGCTGCCTTGAGACCTGTATAAAAGTCAGCACATAAACGTGTCGTGCCGCTGACCTTCTTGATAACGACTATAGGTGCTGCCCAAGTAGTCAGTCAGTTGCAACGTAGAACTTCGTACGTATGTACATAAGTTCATGTTGCCATACCACATTATTAGCACAGAGATGCAAATGTCAAATCAAATCCCATAGTGATAAAGATTGTAGAGGTATTAATGTTATAATAAAGAAGACTAGGGTTTAAGATATTATTCAAAAAATATAATTCAGTGAGATAAGGTTAGAAAGACAAAGGTATAGGTGCTGGCTAATCCAGAAGATTAGGATTTGAGAGAGCTCAAAGAGTGGATGCACCTGCGCCATTGCAAACGATTTTGAGCCATGTCGTTCAAGGTCTCTAACCATTGATGACTTTCGTCTCGCGGACCCCAACCAGGTAGTCTACATCTACCAACATGACTCAGTCCACTTGTCAGTGACTTCATGGATTTCTGCCATGTTTTGGTCTGGCCACCCCTAACTTTCTTCCAACCTACTCCTACACCACAAAACATAGCTCGTCGAGGCAGTCGGTGGTTAAGCATACGTAACACATGTCCCAACCACCTGAACTGATGAAGTTTCACCACTTCATCTATTGATCTGCCATCCTTACCTAGTACTCGTTTCCTAACGACAGCATTGCTTACTCGGCTGTCCCACGATATACGAGCAATGCTTCTTAAACATCTATGATCGAATACTAGTAACCTACGAACATCTTCTACTCTTAACGGCCATGTTTCACAGCCATATAAGAGAACGGAACGAACTGCTGCGCAGTACACCCGCCCTTTGGTTAGCGAACGGATATCACGCCTACGCCATAAGTGACGCAGGTTGGCAAAAGCCAATCGAGCTTTCTGTATCCGAGCTGAGATTTCGTCAGTCACCAGACCGTCAGCACTGATGAGACTCCCCAGATAAGTGAAGTGATCTACACGCTCGACTACTTCACTCCCTATCACTAGTTCAGGTGCCGAAGCAACCCAGTCTTGAAGCAACATTTTGCATTTGGAGGGGGAAAACCGCATCCCGAACATGCTCGCATTGTTGCTTATGGTAGTCAGAAGACTCTGCATTTTGTCAGCGTCTTCACCGAATAGAACTATGTCATCGGCATATTCTAGATCAGTAAGCGACTTTCCTGGTAGAAGGTCAACCCCTGAAAAATCTGACGAGCTTAATGTTAACTCTAAGAGGATGTCTACGACAAAGTTGAACAAGAATGGAGAGAGTGGACAGCCCTGACGGACACCACTTGATGTAGAGAATTCAGATGACAGTTCGCCATATGCTCTCACCCGACCAGTGGTGTTCGAGTAGAGTGCTTGTATAAGGTTAATGTACTTCTTTGGTACACCTTTCAATGACAGACACTGCCACAGAACCTCACGATCCACTGAGTCGAATGCCGCCTTAAGGTCCAGGAACACGACTATTGTCGAACGTCTAAATGTGTGTCTGTGTTCCAGGACCTGTCGTAGTGTGAAGATGTGGTCTATACAACCACGTCCAGGTCGAAAACCAGCCTGGTTTTCTCGAGTCTGCTCTTCACGAGCTCTAGTTAGACGTCTAAGTATAATCGAGGCTAACAATTTAGAAGCTATATTAGTTAAACTTATTCCCCTGTGATTGTCACAAGAGGACTTCTGTCCTTTCTTGTAGATTGGGGCAATTAGCGACTGAGACCAGTCAGATGGGATTACGTCCATTTCCCAGATTCTACCTAGGATCTCGGTCAGTCTAACCGTTAAAACTGGACCACCATCCTTAAACATCTCAGGGGTAAGCCTATCGGGACCTGCCGCTCTACCTCTCCTTAGATTTCCTATAGCTTTCTCAACTTCATGTAAACTGGGAGGACTTAGATCGATTTGCCATTCAGGATGACTGGAGATCGTGGGCAACCGAAGAGTGGCTGAAGGCCAGTTGAACTGATTCCTAAAGTGTTCTGCCCATCGGTCCAGCCTCCTAGATTGAGAATGGATAATAAGACCATCCTTTTCCGAGATAGTCTCACTTACATTCGGGTTCCTAATACCGGTTTCTTTGATAAGGCGGAAAAGTTGTCTAGTGTTGCCTATCGCCGCTGCCTTTTCCATTGCTTTTGCTTTCGCCACCCACCACTGTTCACGGTCGTTACGTAGGCTTTTTATAAGTCTGCACCTAAGCTGACTACGCTCTTCATCATGTTCAGAGTCAGGTGGGATGCGTTTTCGAACATCCATCAGTTCGGTGGATGCGACTGAAATCCACTGCTTCTTCCTAGCATTGTGGTTTACCTTGCTAGCAGATACCATTGCTGTTTCCACAGCCTTCTTGATATGATTCCAACCTGCTTCAGGATGGGAATCACTTGCATGGCCGCCTAACTGTTTTTCTAGTTCCTCCTGAAATATTTTCTTAGCTTGATTATCATTAAGTAAAACCCTAAGAGGCTTCCTTACGGTGTCTTTCCTACGTCCAGCAAGCCTCAAACAAATATGTGCTCGCACTAGGGCATGATCTGAATCTAAACATGTGCCCCAGAACGAGCGACAGTCCTCTATCGAACCCCTCCATCGGTGGCTGATGGCGATATGATCTAGTTGTGTCCAACGTTGAGACGACTTCGGGGGTCGCCAGGTCAAAAGGTGTTTTTCCTTATGCTTAAAATTAGTGTTTGCTAGAAATAGGCGGTTATCTGAGCACAGTTGCAACAGACGGTCGCCATTGTCTGTTCTTTGAGCCGCGAGACCGTAACATCCACCTAGGTGTCTTTCATTTTCACTTAGTCTACCTACTTGTGCATTGTAGTCACCAGCCATTATTACTATATCAGAGCGTTTAACTTTTTGGAGGAGGTCCGAAAGCTTTCTGTAAAACTCATCTTTTACATCATCTGGGCTGCAGTCAGTGGGGGCGTAGGCTGATATGACGAAGAGGCAACGGCGAGTGTCCCTATCTTTCCGAGTCCTTACTGTCCCGTTCAGTCGGACGGCACACAAGCGACTATCTACAGGGATCCAGTCAAGGAGAGTTAGTTCTGCCCTGCGACTCAATGCTATACCTACACCAGCGAGACCTCGGGAAGCAGCATCAGGGCTACCGGACACACGAAGGGTAAATCGAGCTGCTTCTTTATCTTGACATGGTGAGGTCAAATGAGTGATGCTACTCGGATCCTGTATGCGCGTTTCCGAGACGCAGCATACATCGATGGCACGAGATTCTAAAGTCCTAGCTAATGATGCCTGTTGCCCTATTTGACAAAATGTCCGTACATTGAATGCTCCAACATGTAGTTTGGAACGGGGTTTAAGGAGACCAGGAACGACGTTTCGCAAACTCGCATCGTTTGCATTAGCTGTGCACTGTAATAAATGAATGTGAGAAGAGTTAATTGTGGAGGTAAGAGAGGTATTAGGGAATGTGGGAAGGATTTGATTTTGAACAATTTTGTCTCGTGTGCTGTTACGGGTATGAGGGCGGATGTCACTTCCCGGCTGCCCACACCGTGGAAGGTTGTTTCTTGACGAACCTGAAAAGGAAGATGGATTAGTGTTGGTGCGTGACCGCAGAGTCCAAGGGACAACTGCTTGAGGCCGGTCACGCACGGCCTTTTTATGAGAGGTATTTAGAGGATTAGCTCCGTTCTTAAAGGCCCTTAGTGGGCACCCTTACCCAAGGAGACGGAAATCCGTGAGGTAGGGGAGGTGTGACATTTTTAGGGCCGACCTTTTCTAACCCTTCCTTCCTTGTGAGAAGCCAGCATCGCTGCAGATGCTGGTTGTCCGAGGGAAACACCTTACTGCTGTCACACCCCTCTGCAGTCAGCAGTACGACTTCGCCCTCAGACCTTGGGTAGCTGCTTTTAGTCTCACCGTTCTCCAATCGACCTGCCTGGCATGGTAGGACCTGCAGGAACATGTGTTCCAGCCAGAATAGCTCGGTTGGGTCATCACGATAGTCAAGCCCGACCACCACGTCAAGGTAGCAGCTTCGGTCGGGCCCAAGTAGAGCTAGAAATGGGAGTAATAACTCATTGTCGTTGAAGGCGACTCAGTTCTTCATCTATTGTAGGTAATGTTGCATAAGGCATGAATATCTTTGGATGGAAAGCAGGCTTAGCCCCAGATTTCAACCGAATTGTTGCTTTCATGGCAGTACACCGACCTAATCCAGGTTGGAAAATGATTGAAAACTGCGTTATTAGATTCCTCGTAGAAAGGGTTAGGTGTCTGCTGTACTAAATGCACTTCAGATCTACTAGACCCGCCACTCTGCACCACAGTAGTGTCTCATCGTAGATTAGTGAGACGTTGGTATTCATTAGCCAAATTACTAAGGTTGAGTTTAGAATATTGTCAATGAATCTTTCGGACTGGCAGCTGAAAATGAGGATGAGGGTTTTAAACTGGTCTTTCGATAAATACTTCAACTGGAAACGTTCGCTTTCAAAGTTAACGATGCTCATATGCTTAAGAAAATCATCGTTTTCACTTATAACGAGCTTCAAACATCGATAACAAGTATTAAGCAATGACGAGTTGTCGCCGAACTATTGGCTTAGTGTCTAGACTACGTCTGAGAATGGGCGATCACGTGGGTTCAAAGGCAGGCTCAAATTACAGCAAAAAATTCAAGGTATCAACCTGAATGGAAAAATTAAATCTTTGCAATTATGGAACCACAAGTCGAAAGCAACATTGGCATCAGGATCGTAATGAAAGTGAGCAATGCTATTTACGATGCCGTCTGCTGATGGTGCTGTGGTTGCATTTGATGAGCTAGGCTGTGTGAAAGGCGAATTCTTAATATCTGTGAAAATCTGCATTAGTTTCAGCTGTTGATCAAATAGTAGATCAAGTTTCGAAGGATCCATGATTCCGAAGACACCGTCGCTCATTGATAAGCTCGTCAATTGATAAGCTTGAAAATATTACGAGATAACCTTACTCGGTAAACGAGAGAGAAGACACATGATGCAGTGAAAAGCTATTCTGATTCGATTGTCCTTGGCCTATCTTACTATATCAAAAATCCTGATAAGGCGTAGAAAGTGTACTCTACAAGCATCCAAAGAATATGAGCCAGCTACATGCAGGCTGTCCATTATATACTGTGCTTCCCTCCAGATGTTAACATCTTCATAATCCAGTAGAAAATCAAAAGAAAGAGAAATGGTGAGAGTAAGCAACCTTGCCTGACACCGGTCTTCACCTCGAACGAGTCTGTCAGCTGTCCTCTACGTACGATCCTGCAGGTTCATCCATCATAAGAATTCCGAATGATGTTGACTATCTTCTCAGACACGCCGTAATGTCAAAGAAGCCTTCGTAATGTTGTCCTGTCCACACTATCAAAGGCTTTCTCGTAGTCAAGGAAGTTGGTGTAGAGTGGTGAGTTCCATTCAATTGATTGTTCCACAATGATCCGTAATGTGGCGATGTGGTCGGTACGAAATCCAGACTGTTGATCTCGAAGTTGGGTGTCTACAAAGTCCTTCATTCTGTATAACAACACCTCGTTGAAGACTTCTACTGGTATTGAGAGAAGAGTGGTGCCTCTGTAGTTCTCACACTTCCTGAGATCGCCTTTCTTTGATATTTTGATCAGCTCTCCTTCCCTCCGGTCTGTTGGTAATTGTTCTTCATCCCAAATCTTGTTGAAGAGAATATGGAATATTTTTGTAGTTGCTGCCACATCTGTTTTGATTGCCTCAGCTGGTAGGCAGACTGGTCCCGCTGCTTTGTCGCTATTGATTTGTCTGGTGGTCATGCTGATCTCTTCGATTGTTCGTTGGTCAACATTGATCGGGAGGTTCATGGGTGCAGCTGCAATGATGGGTGTGTTCAGTAGGGCTAGTCGATTCAAGAGTTCCTTAAAGTTCTCTACCCACCTGTTTCGCTGTTCTTCAACGTTGCTGATTACTTCGCCTTCCTTATTTTCCACTGGCATTTCTGGTTTACGATAGTTTCCAGCGCGCTTATTCGTTGTATCGTACAATTGTCTCAAGTTTCCTTCTCTTGCAGCCTTTTCCGCCGTCATTGCTACATCTTCCACATATTCACGTTTGTCGGCTCTGATGCTTCGCTTTACTTACTTGTTTGCTTCTCTATATTCAGCTTGTGCCTTGAATTCCTCTGCTCTTGTTCAGCTGATGTTGATAGCTGCCTTCATGTTCCTCCTTTCCTGAATTTTTTCAAGGGTACCAACAGAGATCCATTACTTGTGATGGTACTTCTTGTGGCCAAGAACCTCATGCGATCCCGAAGTCATTTCTTCTTCGACCTTTATCCAGTTGTTCTCCGTAGCAGTTTCCATTTCATTGAGTAGACAGTGTGAGAGGCCTGGAACCAATTGCTGGGGGCTATCTTGAATTCGTTGAGTTTGCCAGCATCCCGAAGAAAGGCTGTATTAAGCTTTTTTGATGTTGTACGCCTCACTGTCCGGTGACGCTTGGTTTTCAGTCGTGAAAACGATATACGAGCATTGCTCGTATATCGTGGGACAACCGAGTGAGCAACGCTGTTATTAGGAAACGGGTACTAGGTAAGAATGGCAGATCAATAGATGAAGTGATGAAACTTCATCAGTTGAGGTGGTTGGGACACGTGTTGCGTATGCCTAACCACCGACTGCCTCGTCGAGCTTTGTTTTGTGGTGTAGGAATAGGTTGGAAGAAAGCTAGGGGTGGCCAGACCAAAACATGGCATAAATCCATGAAGTCATTGACGAGTGGACTTAGCCATGTCAGTAGTTGTCGACTACCTGGTTGGGGTCTGCGAGATGATAATAATCGATGGCTAGAGACCTTGAATGACATGGCTCAAAATCGTTCGAGATGGCGCCAGTGCATTTATTCTTTGTGTTCTCTCAAATACTAATCTTCTGGATTCTTCAACACCTCTAGTTTTTACTTTCTAAACTTATCTCATTGAATCATATTTCGTGAATATCTTCTAATTCTAACCTCTCCGATTACTTCTAATACCTTTACTACCTCTTCTACTATTGGATTTGAATTGACAGTTATATCTCTGTGCTGATGTGGTATGGCGACATGAACTGATGTACTTACGTACGAAGTTCTACGTTGCATCTGACTGACTGACTGACTGACTGGTTTTCAGTCGTATTTCCATAGACATATTAGAACACACATCTTTTAGTGATCATATCACAGGGTAAGAACCCGCAACATTAGTTTGGATGACCAGATTATATTACTAGACATCAAAAAAAGGTCAAACTAAAGTCCAGGTCCAAGTGAAACTGTGATTTGTCGCTGAGTAACCCATGTCATTTTTAAAAGTAAAAAACATGCCATAACTTATACAGAGGCCGTTGTGACCAAACCAAATGTGTATGAGTTGGATCTCGTATAAAAGGTCCATGAAGAGATTCTCAAATAAAAAAATTTTATAAAGCGAACCTACAACATGCTGACTGTTGTATACAAGATTGCCTGTTACAAGATACTTACCTAGAACACCTATTTTTATATATGTTTTATGACTAAGAGATCGCAGGTGCTGAATACGTCGCCATATTTTTACTTCAGCACTATCTCGAATGGCACATGTCATGAGCAAAACAGTGTCACACTGTAAAATTAAATGTAAAAAAAGGTACCAACTTGTTCAACTGACGGAACAATATTATACCCAGCTTCCGTTAGTAAACTTTGAGCAACATTGGTGTCACTATAGTTCATTTGACATCCATAGACTTCAATATACACTGATATGAATGGAAATACTTAGAGTTCAAGATGTTTACCTTTGTTGCGGGCTAGAGAACAAAAAGGACTTGACTAGTTAAAAATAATTCAAAATGGTATTCATCACCTTTGCAAATGTCCGTATTACAGTTGAGATCCTCCCAATACTTGTGCAAAATCCAATCATTGATGAAATGTTCAAGTTAGACTAAAATTTTAGAAAATATTACCATTGCATGTAGACATTTTAACTCTTCCAACTAAAACATTTCAGATTTAACCGATTCTGTGTACGACCTTCACAAAAAAGAAAGCATATTAAACAGCAAATGACCACATGAAGTTATTCACTAGACTTGAAAGTATTTTCTTAATTTTTTGTGTGGCAGCTGTTTGGTGTATTCATTATTTTACATGATATGAGATGAATGATGTATATTTTGGAATAGTGTTTTGTAGATGACCTACAAAAGTCAAGCATACAGATCTGGTATCTTTAAAATAGTTTGTTAAGTCTAGCACATTCTGAACAGACTAGTATATAAATGTGAAAATGATGGCTTTACTTATGGGGGAATACGAAACTAACAATATTATAATAGAAATGATAACCAAACAAATAGAAGAAAGGACATTAAAAATGACTTGGTAATTTTAGGAGAAACAGCAATAAGATTCATGAACAAAACAAAATAATAATGAAATTTATCGTTAGAGACCTGTTACCGATGTCTCGATTACTTAGCTTTTATAAGACTGGGGACTGAAAAGACAACACATTTGACATTCTCAGGAGGAATAGTGATATATGAATAACAGGACAAGAACTATATGCAAAGACCTGCTTTACTACCTTTACTTTTGAACATTTTAAGTTAATGAAACTTCCACTAACTGATACGGAAAAGTTTTAACGAAATATAAGCAAACAACTGATGATTCATCAAAAAGGATTATTGATATTATAAACTTGTTCTTCCACTTCGCCCGACCGTAGCTGCTGCCTTGATGTGGTGGTCGGGCTTGCCTATCGTGATGATCCAACTGAGCTATATTGGCTGGAACATATGTTCCTAGAGGTTCTATCATGCCAGGCAGGTCGATTGGAGAACGGTGAGACTAAAAGCAGCTACCCAAGGTCTGACGGCGAAGTCGTGCAGCTAACTGCAGAGAGGTGTGACAGCAGTAAGGTGTTTCCGTCGGACAACCAGCTTCTGCAGCGATGCTGCCTTCTCACAAGGAAGGAAGGGTTAGAAAAGGGCGACCCCAGAATTGTCACACCTCAACCTACCTCACGAATTTCCGTCCCCGGTGGTAAGGGTGACCACTAAGGGCTTTTAAGAGCGGAGCTAATACGCAAAATACCTTTAATAAAAAGGCCGTGTGTGACCGACCTCAAGCAGTTGTTAATTCGAGTCTGAGGTCACGCTCTCAGGTCGTAAAGACCAACGCTAATATACCTTCCTTTTCAGGTTCCTCACGAAACAACCTCCCACGGTGTGGGCAGCCGGGAAGTGACATCCGCCCTCATACCCGTAACAGCACGCGAGACCAAATTGGTCACAATCAAATCATTCGTACAGCCCCTAACATATCTCTTATCTCCACGACTAACTCTACTCACATTCCTTTATCACACTGCACAGCTAATGCAAACGATGCGAGTTCATGAAACGACATTCCTGGTCTCCTGAAACCCCCTTCTAAATTACATGTTGGCGCACTTAATGTTCGAACATTGTGTCAAATAGGGCAACAGGCTTCCTTAGCTAGGATATTAAAATCTCGCTCAATCGATCTATGCTGCGCCTGTGAAACGCGCATACAGGATCCTAGTAAAATCATTAATTTGATCTCACCTTGTCAAAACAAAGAAGCAGCTCGATTTACTCTTTGTGTATCCGGTGTCCGTGATGCTGCTTCCCGTGGTCTCACTGGTGTAGGTATTGCATTGAGTCCTAGGGCAGAACTAGCTCTCCTAGACTGGATCCCAGTATATAGTCGCTTGTGTGCTGTCCGACTGAACAGGACAGTAAGGACTCGGAAAGATAGGGACACTCGCCGTCGCCTTTGCATCGTATCTGCCTACGCTCCCACTGACTGCAGTTCAGACGAGGTGGAAGATGAGTGTTACAGGCGCTGTGATGAGTTTTACAGAAAGCTTTCTAAACTTTTTCATAAAGTTAGGCGCTGTGATATAGCGATAATGGCTGCTGACTTCAATGATCAAGTAGGTAGAGTAAGTGAGAAGGAAAGTCACCTGGGTGGATCTTATGGTGTCGCGGCTCAGAGAAACAGATACTGGCGGCCGTCTGTTGCAACTGTGCTCAGATAACCACCTATTTCTCGCAGACACTAACTTTAGGCATAAGGAAAAACATCTTTTGACTTGGCGACCCCTCAAGTCGTCTCAGCCTTTTACCCAACTAGATCACATCGCCATCAGGAATAAGTCTAACTAACATAGTATCTAAAATATTGAACTCAATAATACTCCGACGCTTGTGAAGAGCAGACTCGAGAAAACCAGGCTGGTTTTCGACCTGGACGTGGATGTATAGACCAAATATTCACGCTACGTCAGGTCTCAGAACAAAGGCGCACGTCCAGATGCTCCACACTAGTAGTATTTCTCGACCTTAAAGCTGCATCCGACTCTGTTGATCGTGAGGTTCTGTGGCAGTGGTAGACATTAAAAGGTGTACCAAACTACATTAACCTTATACAGGCTCTCTACTTGAACACCACTGGTCGAGTTAGAGCTTATGGCGAACTGTCATCGGAATTAGTTACTTTATGTGCAGTGCGTCAGGGCTGTCCCTTCTCTCCATTCTTGTTCAACTTTGTCGTAGATATGCTTTTAGAGTAAACATTATCATCGTCTGACTTTTCTGGTGTGAACCTTCTGCTAGGAGACACGCTTGCTGTTTTAGAATATGCTGATGACATAGTCCTATTTGGTGAAGACGCTGACAAAATTTAGAGTCTTCTGACTACCCTGAGCAACAAGCAAGCATGTTCGGGATGCGGTTTTTCCCCTCGAAATGCAAAATGTTGCATCAAGATTGGGTTGCATTGGCACCCAAACTAGTGATAAGGAGTGAACGTGTAGATCGCTTCACTTATCCTGGGAGTCTCATCAGTGCTGATGGCCTGGTAACCGACGAGATCTCAGCACGGATACAGAAGGTTCGATTGGCTTTTGCCAACTTGCGTTGCCTATGGCTTAGACGAGATATCCGTCTGCTAACGAGAGGACTAGCGTGCTGCTGAGCAGTTTGTTCCGTCCTACTGTACGGATGCGAGACGTGAGAGAGGAGGACATTCGTAGATTGCCTGTCTTCGAAGCATTGCTCGTATATCCTGAGATAACCGAGTAAGCGATTCTGTCGTTAGGAAATGAGTACTCGGTATGGACGGAAAATCAGTAGATGAAGTAGTGAAACTCCATTAGTTGAGGTGTTTGGGACATGTGTTGTGTATACCCAACCGTCGACTTCCTCGATGAGCAATGTTTTGTGGTGTAGGACTAGGTTGGAAGAAAGCTAGGGGCGGCGGAAATCCATGAAATTATTAACAAGTGGACTGAGTCATGTTGGTAGGTGTCGACTACCTGGTTGGCGTCCGCGACACGAAAATCACCAATGGTTAGAGATGTTGAACGACGGCTCAAAACCGTTTGCAATGGCGCCGGTGTATTCACTCTTTGTTTTCTCTTAAATTTTAACCTGAATTCCTCATCATCTCCATCTTTCTCTTTCTAACCTCATCTCTCTGAATTATACCCTAGTCTTCTCCATCACTGCTAATACTTCTACTATCGCTACCACTATTGGATTTGAACTAACAGTTGCGTCTGTGTGCTAATGCGGTATGGTAACCTGAACTGATGTACATACGTGGTAAATTCTGTGTTGTATTTGTCTGTTTACTACTTCGAGTTAATTAATCCTACGTGAATTGACACGATATTCAGGTCGAAAACTGAGGATTATGGTACAGTTATTGACATCCAGCCTAAGAATTTTACAACAAAATTGATAAAATTTGAATAAGCGTCTGTGTGGAGCTAATTATCAGCAAAATGAAATTAGGGAAACCTGAAACTACACTTGTGTTGAAAATAAAGTGATTTGATGAAAATTAAGAAACTCCCGTGAATCCGTGTACTTTTGATTGTTTTATCTTTACTGATGAATAGTTTTGAGCGGTAGTTCGTGGAGTTCTGGTATAAAACTATGATCAGTAGAGTCCAATTATGTTCGCTGTGAGACAGACTGAATAATTGTGTAGCCTAGCGAACTAACTGGAGTCAGAAATTGGTACCAGTTAAGTGTCTACCGCAAAATATCAAGGTGGTCGGTTCGGTCTGCGATGCGGTCGCGGACGCATACTGAGAAGTCCCATACAAGGATGAAACGAGTTTAAAGCTTAGTGGTTTCCAATGACTGTTCAACTTATTTCTAGTACTGACTTCAATGCTCACCCAGTAATATCCACGAATTCTGTACTGGTAAAGATCAAGCTTGTTGAAAGAGGTCTACTAACTATGATTTACAGATATTCCTAATCATCTTAGTATTTAGAGCCAGTTAACTGAGAATTTAGATTGTGCGGACCGAAATAATATTTCGGCATGGCTTTATAAGTTGAATAATCGATAAAAGGAGTAATATAAGGGTAAATACATGACTGTAATTAGTGAACGGAACAAACAGATAGAAACTCTTGAATTTCGAGTGAAAGCTGCGGACCGTAAAAGAATTTCTCCCTAGATGAACTCCAAATTCATTTTTAATTTCGAACATAAACGACTACTGTTAAGTATGCGCCTTTTTTCTAGAGGTTGCAGTAAAATACAGGACGCGCGTCTCGCCGAATCCAAAGCCTGCCATTCGGATACAACTGAACCCTACTGTTGATTAATAATACTGAGATTCGAGTTCATTATTTGTTGTTACGGGTACCTGATGTATTTCTAGCAATAGATTTGATATGAATTCGTGATGGAAAACCGAACCCCAGCTCCTAATACTGACTAGAAAAACCAACTTCTGAGCCTATCTTGAAGCTCTTGATACGGCTTTGAAACCAATGTTATGATTCCGATCGTTTAAGTACTGAATTATAAGCTAAGCAGGAACAGATTACAACCATGGTTATGTACGGTTGCTGAAATAACTGAATAAGTTAAGAGTTAAAGCGCTAGAACCGGGTACAAAAACATTTGGTTTAGTTTTTATGACAGCTTAGTATCTATATGCATAAAGATAAGCAAACATCAACATAAGAGAAACGATTATAGATAGAACTAACAGCCCGACCACGAGTATTTGAAAAACCACCTGTATAGTTTCAATATACATTCTCCACTGTTAATTTATAAACATGCTTTAAAAGCCGCCTCCAGATATTTCCGTGAATTTAACTGGAGTTACTGAAAATAAGAGCTATAATTTTAGTTTTACACTGGAATTGTTTTAAATGGTTCAAATGGTTGTGGACGAAATCGTGGCTTTCACTTAACGGGATTCCGTATCTACCAGCAATGGATTACTGATGCCTCCAGGTGGGAATCTAGGTATAATGCAGCAAAAGAGAAACATTATTGAATTATAATAAAATATTGACCCAAGTCCTTAAGAAAATATCAACTTTCCTCTTGGAGGACTCCCGAGAAATTGCTTGGACCGCCTCAGCCGATAGCAAATTCTATGTTTACCTACAATGCATCCAGTGATGTTGGTCCATTTCGTGAGTATTTCTTTTAAGTTTTCTTCTGAGACTGATCCTAAGTGGGTATTTTACGGGGTGTATAGAAGTACTTAAAACGCCATGAATCATTAGGTAACCTCTGAGACGCTGATGCCCTAACGATTAAAGGTCTAGTCAATTAGGGTGCTCTTCATAAGGTTTGAATTTTAGTTCTCGAACTGCTTTCGTGTAATCTCGTCTTTCTGTAGTGAGGAAAGAAATAATATATCTCCATAATGTAGATGCAGCCAAATAAGTGTTAGAGAGCAGATAGAACATTCTAGATTCAAACTGGTCCAAATGAGCTTCAAGTTTATCGGCGCAAGGAAACGGATTCCAGTAACTGTTAGCGTAAGACTTTTTATCATAGGATATCAAGACTCCTAGAACTACTTCAACTTCGGGTACCTCTAGAGAAGAGTTAGCTAAGTTATATTCATGGACCACAGCATGTTTCATGTGAACCACCTTGCACATGGAAGTGTTAAAATTAAGCCCATCGTCACTCGCTAAACTTTCAAGTTCAGCCAGATTCTCCTGAACAGCCGGCTTATCGTTTCGGCTATAAACTTCTGTCCAAAGTTTGACGCAATCAGTGGAAAGAAATTACTGAAACAACACTTGCTGAGGAAGGTCACTCACATAAATCGAGAACAAAGTTACATGAAATGGAAACTGCTACGGAGAACAACTGGATAAAGGTCGAAGAAGAAATGACTTCGGGATCGCATGAGGTTCTTGGCCACAAGAAGTACCATCACAAGTAATGGATCTCTGTTGGTACCCTTGAAAAAATTCAGGAAATGAGATCAAATTAATGATTTTACTAGGATCCTGTATGCGCGTTTCACAGGCGCAGCATAGATCGATTGAGCGAGATTTTAATATCCTAGCTAAGGAAGCCTGTTGCCCTATTTGACACAATGTTCGAACATTAAGTGCGCCAACATGTAATTTAGAAGGGGGTTTCAGGAGACCAGGAATGTCGTTTCATGAACTCGCATCGTTTGCATTAGCTGTGCAGTGTGATAAAGGAATGTGAGTAGAGTTAGTCGTGGAGATAAGAGATATGTTAGGGGCTGTACGAATGATTTGATTGTGACCAATTTGGTCTCGCGTGCTGTTACGGGCATGAGGGCGGATGTCACTTCCCGGCTGCCCACACCGTGGGAGGTTGTTTCGTGAGGAACCTGAAAAGGAAGGTATATTAGCGTTGGTCTTTACGACCTGAGAGCGTGACCTCAGACTCGAATTAACAACTGCTTGAGGTCGGTCACACACGGCCTTTTTATTAAAGGTATTTTGCGTATTAGCTCCGCTCTTAAAAGCCCTTAGTGGTCACCCTTACCACCGGGGACGGAAATTCGTGAGGTAGGTTGAGGTGTGACAATTCTGGGGTCGCCCTTTTCTAACCCTTCCTTCCTTGTGAGAAGGCAGCATCGCTGCAGAAGCTGGTTGTCCGACGGAAACACCTTACTGCTGTCACACCTCTCTGCAGTTAGCTGCACGACTTCGCCGTCAGACCTTGGGTAGCTGCTTTTAGTCTCACCGTTCTCCAATCGACCTGCCTGGCATGATAGAACCTCTAGGAACATATGTTCCAGCCAATATAGCTCAGTTGGATCATCACGATAGGCAAGCCCGACCACCACATCAAGGCAGCAGCTACGGTCGGGCGAAGTGGAAGAACAAGTTTATAATATCAATAATCCTTTTTGATGAATCATCAGTTGTTTGCTTATATTTCGTTAAAACTTTTCCGTATCAGTTAGTGGAAGTTTCATTAACTTAAAATGTTCAAAAGTAAAGGTAGTAAAGCAGGTCTTTGCATATAGTTCTTGTCCTGTTATTCATATATCACTATTCCTCCTGAGAATGTCAAATGTGTTGTCTTTTCAGTCCCCAGTCTTATAAAAGCTAAGTAATCGAGACATCGGTAACAGGTCTCTAACGATAAATTTCATTATTATTTTGTTTTGTTCATGAATCTTATTGCTGTTTCTCCTAAAATTACCAAGTCATTTTTAATGTCCTTTCTTCTATTTGTTTGGTTATCATTTCTATTATAATATTGTTAGTTTCGTATTCCCCCATAAGTAAAGCCATCATTTTCACATTTATATACTAGTCTGTTCAGAATGTGCTAGACTTAACAAACTATTTTAAAGATACCAGATCTGTATGCTTGACTTTTGTAGGTCATCTACAAAACACTATTCCAAAATATACATCATTCATCTCATATCATGTAAAATAATGAATACACCAAACAGCTGCCACACAAAAAATTAAGAAAATACTTTCAAGTCTAGTGAATAACTTCATGTGGTCATTTGCTGTTTAATATGCTTTCTTTTTTGTGAAGGTCGTACACAGAATCGGTTAAATCTGAAATGTTTTAGTTGGAAGAGTTAAAATGTCTACATGCAATGGTAATATTTTCTAAAATTTTAGTCTAACTTGAACATTTCATCAATGATTGGATTTTGCACAAGTATTGGGAGGATCTCAACTGTAATACGGACATTTGCAAAGGTGATGAATACCATTTTGAATTATTTTTAACTAGTCAAGTCCTTTTTGTTCTCTAGCCCGCAACAAAGGTAAACATCTTGAACTCTAAGTATTTCCATTCATATCAGTGTATATTGAAGTCTATGGATGTCAAATGAACTATAGTGACACCAATGTTGCTCAAAGTTTACTAACGGAAGCTGGGTATAATATTGTTCCGTCAGTTGAACAAGTTGGTACCTTTTTTTACATTTAATTTTACAGTGTGACACTGTTTTGCTCATGACATGTGCCATTCGAGATAGTGCTGAAGTAAAAATATGGCGACGTATTCAGCACCTGCGATCTCTTAGTCATAAAACATATATAAAAATAGGTGTTCTAGGTAAGTATCTTGTAACAGGCAATCTTGTATACAACAGTCAGCATGTTGTAGGTTCGCTTTATAAAATTTTTTTATTTGAGAATCTCTTCATGGACCTTTTATACGAGATCCAACTCATACACATTTGGTTTGGTCACAACGGCCTCTGTATAAGTTATGGCATGTTTTTTACTTTTAAAAATGACATGGGTTACTCAGCGACAAATCACAGTTTCACTTGGACCTGGACTTTAGTTTGACCTTTTTTTGATGTCTAGTAATATAATCTGGTCATCCAAACTAATGTTGCGGGTTCTTACCCTGTGATATGATCACTAAAAGATGTGTGTTCTAATATGTCTATGGAAATACGACTGAAAACCAGTCAGTCAGTCAGTCAGTCAGATGCAACGTAGAACTTCGTACGTAAGTACATCAGTTCATGTCGCCATACCACATCAGCACAGAGATATAACTGTCAATTCAAATCCAATAGTAGAAGAGGTAGTAAAGGTATTAGAAGTAATCGGAGAGGTTAGAATTAGAAGATATTCACGAAATATGATTCAATGAGATAAGTTTAGAAAGTAAAAACTAGAGGTGTTGAAGAATCCAGAAGATTAGTATTTGAGAGAACACAAAGAATAAATGCACTGGCGCCATCTCGAACGATTTTGAGCCATGTCATTCAAGGTCTCTAGCCATCGATTATTATCATCTCGCAGACCCCAACCAGGTAGTCGACAACTACTGACATGGCTAAGTCCACTCGTCAATGACTTCATGGATTTATGCCATGTTTTGGTCTGGCCACCCCTAGCTTTCTTCCAACCTATTCCTACACCACAAAACAAAGCTCGACGAGGCAGTCGGTGGTTAGGCATACGCAACACGTGTCCCAACCACCTCAACTGATGAAGTTTCATCACTTCATCTATTGATCTGCCATTCTTACCTAGTACCCGTTTCCTAATAACAGCGTTGCTCACTCGGTTGTCCCACGATATACGAGCAATGCTCGTATATCGTTTTCACGACTGAAAACCAAGCGTCACCGGACAGTGAGGCGTACAACATCAAAAAAGCTTAATACAGCCTTTCTTCGGGATGCTGGCAAACTCAACGAATTCAAGATAGCCCCCAGCAATTGGTTCCAGGCCTCTCACACTGTCTACTCAATGAAATGGAAACTGCTACGGAGAACAACTGGATAAAGGTCGAAGAAGAAATGACTTCGGGATCGCATGAGGTTCTTGGCCACAAGAAGTACCATCACAAGTAATGGATCTCTGTTGGTACCCTTGAAAAAATTCAGGAAAGGAGGAACATGAAGGCAGCTATCAACATCAGCTGAACAAGAGCAGAGGAATTCAAGGCACAAGCTGAATATAGAGAAGCAAACAAGTAAGTAAAGCGAAGCATCAGAGCCGACAAACGTGAATATGTGGGAGATGTAGCAATGACGGCGGAAAAGGCTGCAAGAGAAGGAAACTTGAGACAATTGTACGATACAACGAATAAGCGCGCTGGAAACTATCGTAAACCAGAAATGCCAGTGGAAAATAAGGAAGGCGAAGTAATCAGCAACGTTGAAGAACAGCGAAACAGGTGGGTAGAGAACTTTAAGGAACTCTTGAATCGACTAGCCCTACTGAACACACCCATCATTGCAGCTGCACCCATGAACCTCCCGATCAATGTTGACCAACGAACAATCGAAGAGATCA